CCAGGTCTAAAAAAATGTCAAGGGAACAAAAACAAAAAAAGAAAAAACAACAACTAAAGACATGAATAAATGTAGTCTTATCTATTGAATTTCCTTACAGAAAGGAGCCGATAAAGTCCTGCAATCCAACTTCAACTCATCGTTTTACATGTGTCAATTAGGAGTGGTGAAATGCAGGTATCAGGCAGTCTGATTCAGATATTCTACTTCCTTTCTTAAACAAAGGTGTGCCCAAGTTACACTGCCAAGCAACAGAGAATCAGCTGGTGGCATCATTATGTGACTACAAGCTGAAACTAAGGATGTAAGCCTCTCTCAGTTCTGGTGCTGCACAGGGATGACCGTGTATCCTTTCCCTACTACCATGCAACACTATTTCTGAATTCATCTTCTCAGCTCTAGTTTAACTGGAGAAAACAGAGACGGACTGGACATTTGGCATCACTCCAGAACTTTTAGATGTGCCTCTGCTGCATCACACCTGAATAGAATAATTAGGTCATTAGCAAAGCTCTGGAGAACTTCTCTACACAAGGAGGAGGTAATTATTAAACCTTTGCATTCAAGTGTTTTGTACCTGTGGCACATCTAAAAACTGCAGGACAGCGGCCCTCTAGGACTGGAGTTTCACACCTGTGCTCCAGAGTGTCGTGATTATGATTAATGCATGCTACACTCACCTTGGAAGACACGTCTTCTTCCACGGTATTTTCCAAATCAGAATCTGATTTCTTCCCTGAAAGATTAAGTACATGCATGTACTATGGAGTCAGTACATGAAACTTAATAAGCACCATTCACATTCAGTTGAAACGATAAAATAATGAGTTGACCAGCATTACCTCTGGATTTCCCACTTAACCTCGCGGATGAATCAGTCGACTGAGGAGTCGGAATGTACTCTGGGTCACCGCCTTCATCTTCAATAGCCTTAAAAAGATATTTTTGCAGATGAAAAAAAAATCCAGCCATCAACTTACTACCGTACTTACAAATGCGAGATTATTTAAAACGCAATCCAAAATCTTGGTATAATTCAAATATATTACATCCAAGAGGGTGGGCACAAATGTGAGAAATTAACCACAAATCCGTACACCCCTCATCTATACCACTGTTTGTGCAAAAGGCAGAGATGTGTTACTAGTCCTTCACATGGCAACAAAGACGAACTGGACATTTAAAAAAGACACTGGATGGCAATTCAGAGAAACCAGTTAAACTATCAAGAATCCATATATTCATTTTTTTGACTCGAGGAGAAAGTCTGAGTACCCGAAGTGACGCCACAAATGCAGGGAGAGGGCATGCAAACTCCATCCCTAAAGACTTCAGGCCGGGATTTGGATCCAGGACATGCGAGCCTGTATTTCAGCAGCTGAGGCTAATCACGTGTAATTTGCAACACCAGTTCATGCCCCTTTCATTTCAAATAAAAGATGCACAGGTCAACGATTAGTATTTTTTCCTCAAACGTAGATTTTCCGTTTGGCACCAGTTTATGGCGAGTTTTCACTTTTCCATTTTTTACGTGAATTCAATGCGATAGCCGTTGAAGATTGAACCGAACATATTTACTATTTACCTATTAATTTACAAAACAAGACTGCGCCTACGTTCACGTTTGGGAAATACAAGAACCGGAGGCTGAAGGTTAAACCGTATGAGTGGTTATTTATCGGCCTGGACAAAAGTAGAGCGGCTGGAAAGACCGTCACAACATTAGCTAGGATTAGCACTAGCCTCTCTGCACCACACACAGAACTCACTCAACCGTGCTGCTAAAACAACGGATTCGTTCACTTACTTGCTTAAGCCTTGAGAGCAAAACACTTTTTACTCCAAACGTGTCCAAGCCCCTTCTTTTGAGCTCGGATTTTAGATCGACAACCCTTAATTCGGATATTTTCTTTGAATCCGTTGAAATGGCACCCGACGCCATTTTACCTCTAGATTAGCGAGACGGTTTCTTCCTCGTGGTCTTTGGTCAAATGCCACAGCGCCGCCTACTGTCAGTGCACTGACTTAACTACTGTAACCCTCCCCCAAAAATTGCTTTTCTGGAATGTCACAAAGACTCAAAATACTGTTGCAAAAATAATCCTTCATAAGAACAAAGTAACACTGTTTTACTGTATTGCTTGGCAGTTCAACATACAAATAAAACACAAAAGCATGAGATACAGTTTGACTCATTAGCTCACCAACACAAACACTGAGATTAAATGTATTCATACATTATAGAGCTGCTCAGCAAACCCATTACTTTTTTCCTTGACTCTAGTATATTCCCTAGTGTATTCAAGTGAGACCTTGAAAAGTAGATTAAATCACACTGGGATTAAACTCCACATAAGCAGGCTCCAGATAAGATGTGAACAGTGAATTATTGGCGCTTTGTGGTGAATTTACTGTATTTACATCATTGTGCTAGGATTATAATTACCCCTCAGATTACATGTACCAGACATATATTTATTTCTTGATATCTTTTATTTTAAACAGCTATTTTGTGAAAATAATTTGTAAATATGACTCTTTGAATGTACGAGTCTACGAGTGCTTAACACTGAACCTCATAGTGAGACAATATTGTCTGAGTCTTTATTTTTTTACATTTTACCTGAGTCTTGTGTAATAAAGGATGAAATGTAGGGTTACTTTATTCATCTAACAGTAAAACCTTCTCATTGTTACATTTTATTGTGTTTTTAGTCAATAGTGGAACCCAAAATGAAAAGCTGAAGTAATTGTCCTCAATATATTGTTAAAAAATGTGTAGTAAAGATACATTCACAAAACATATACTTTAAAATGCTATTAACATATTACAATGAAATCCATGTTGGTAATTCTTTAGAGTAAATCAGTTTTGCAATAAAAAATTGAATTATTTATTTATGTGAACATTAATGCTACGTCTACATGTTAAAAGGGGAGATGTTATTTATGTATTGTTTACATCTCAATGCACCCAAGAAGTTTTAGTTAGCACAATGTTAGAATGTATAACTACAGTAATCGAAAAGGATGGCTAGATACGGTGAAGAACAAATGAGGTTTTAATTATCATATTTTTTTTATTATGATTTTACTTAACAGTAGTAGATTTCAAGGAAACTTATTGCATTCACTTCAATCAAATGTATTTTAATACAAGTATAGTAATAATAAACTAATATGTTTCTAGAAAAAACATTGTTTGCTCCGATGTGAACGGACATCAAAAGTCTGGACCCTGAAAATGACATTTATCAACGTTTATATTTCTACTGCGGATGTTGCATTACATTTCCTAAACTGAGAAACGACTCTTGAGAAAATATAGATCTTAATGGATTCTGTGTTGGCATCAGTCATATTCTCTGTTGTCCTTTGCTGAAGCAAGAGATTATCAACAGCTCAGAGGAAACAACAAGATAAGCTGATCAGGAAGGCCAACTCTCTCCCCTTGGCCCAGTTTCAATGGTGGGAAACAGGAGAACTGCAGCCAGACTGACATTTCTGCTGGACAATGTTTCTCCCCCTGGAAAGCTCCTTCAGTGAAGCTCATCCAAACGGATGCATCCAAAATGCATAGAGGTCTGTTATGAGGAGCACTGCTCCAATCCTAATATACAAGTTGAAACAGATTCTATTAGTTTTCTTTTTTTAATTTATTTGTATGAGCACATTTAGTAGGCAAAGATGTACACATTTTGCTGTGCTCCTGTACACGTTATGCAACATAAATCTGTGTACTCTGGGAAGCAATATACACCATGTAATTCACTTACAGGGTTCAGGATATATTTCCTTTTACTGCAAAAGTTTTGTATTTTGAAATGTGTGGAGCTTAGTTTGTTTAATTTTCCTTTTCATTTTGATAGTTTCTCTATTGATGGACAAAATTTTGTACTAATTTAGGCATCGTGAATCCTAAAGGATTCTCTTGGTTAGATATCAGCAACTGTTGCCGTGGAAAGTTGTGGATTTTCCCTTTTCGGTCACATTTTAAATGTTACTGGAGTTTTTTTTTGTGAAGAACCGTTATCCTTTGTGGTATTTTTTTTAATTTTTGTTATATGTTAACAAGGAGATATTAGTGATAACTACTATCCCAATGAATAATGTTAAATTATGTGTTTCTCTTTTGCAGGTCGTTCTTCAATTTACGTAGCTCATTTCAGAATAATAAAAAATGAAACGGAGAATTTCTATGAAATGATTTGCGCAAATGTCCTCTTTTTGAGTCCCATCTTTGTACACTAGAGGGCGCACCAGTATTTGGAATGGAGATGGACGAGCCCATGACAGAGTTGTAGCTCAATATTCAGGATTCCGCATTAATCAGCAATAAAACGCACATGACTGTCCTTTGTTAGGTTTCCATGTGGTTTCTCTTAGAACAAATGGCACGAAAAGTGATGTTTTCTCAAGAAGCGATTTCTGAAATGGAGCTTGTAGTGAGGGGTTCGCAAAGTGGACGCTGAGTCTGGCGCCTCCTTGTGGCATCGCGGGGAATCACCGTGTTGTAGCCGTAGCCAGCCAACAAACGACCTGCTGGGTAAACAACAGTGGATGCCTCGGAAGGCAGGAATGGGAACTTCGTACAGGGCAAATAGTGAGACTTTTCTGTCTTGTTAAACGGGATCCAAATATACAGCTCCTCTCCAGCCTTCTGAAGGTCGGTTGGATGCCGCGGCGAACCAAAATGGCTGAATATATTCGAGCATTTAAGAAGTAAAGTGGAGCTAGCCTTAGCTTAGCTCGCCGCTACGGAGGGCCCCGCTGCCGTCGATTTTGTCTCTCGGCTCTGCTCGGGACTGTTGTCAGTTTCACAATTCCTGCTACAACCTCCCTCCGGTCGCGAGCTCATCGCAGGCCTGTCCGGGTTACCATCCAGATAAGTGTCCATTTTAAGCGCTCGACTCCTGTTTTCTTTAGGGTTTAACCTCTCATGTCACGAAAAGGACAGTGACACATTTAAAAATCAGGACTTGGACCCAGGTACGTGTTGTCTTTGTTGTCTTCTTGTCTGGAGCATTTTTGCCAAGCTACATGGCTAGCTGTCTGCTTTGATTTCTGGTCCTTCCAGGCACGTTTTTGTCATTGATAATGTTCAGATTGTGAGGTTTTAAGTGTTCACTCGGCCCTGGCTCCTGTCACTGGAGCAGCCCTAATGGGACACACACAGGCGGGTTCTGGACGGGTTTATTTGATTCTGATTAAAACGCCTTGTACAAACTAGCCTCAGTTTGAAACTCGGTGTTGTCAACTCAGTTTATTTCACCTGGTTGTGTTTCTGCTGGTCTAATCAGGGGACAGCAGATATAGTAGATCTCAGCACATCAGGCTCAGTTGAATAATTGAACTGGATTACTGTTACAATTCCTGTAAGTACATGGGTTTGTTTGTTTGTTTTACTGGCAGCCTGCACTTTTTTTTATTTTGTAATGACACACAAATCTCCTGGTTTAGGTTGCTGGTTATTAGAAATATGTGTCAGCCCTCTGCCTAAATGCTTTAGGATCTTTATTTCCTCTTAGGGCCCCTGTCATTGCGCAGCTTTTTGTGTGGCATCTGAAGACCTCTAGTTTAACCCTGGATACCCTATAATATAGACAAGAAACATATGCGGGTGTGCTTTTCACTTCTTTATTTGGACTTTTGATAAATTGTTGCTCAGATCAGCTCCTGCACAACACAAACCCTGCATCCCTGTTTCTCAGGAGTCACGTCTTCAGGTCAAGTGACAGCCGGCGTGCTGTTAGGAAATAAGCTGCAAAAGAGGAAAGCAGTGACATTGCCTTGTGTGCATTTCCCCCTCCCCGTGACTGCAAATCACACTCGCACTGCAAAATACTTCAACATCATGCACTAATGTTCATACTTGGTCGGATGGCCTGCGCCGAATGTGATCTGACATTTTTGTGTTTCTCTAGAAAGCTGCAAAGAGACGGTGAGTCCAGAATAGACTGACTGTGAACTCCTGAAGGAAAAGCAAATGTCTGGTCATTCGTGCTACAGTTTATTACTAACATACTCAACAAGAAGGCTTTGTAATATGTCTGATGCAAATGAAATTCCTGTAATGTGTTGAGAGACTCATTACAGCCAAAACCCCCCCACACCCCCTGGCCCCATTGCTTTGAATTTGTCCACAACACAAAGGTGTGCTTGGGGAACTCGGAAAGCGCGGGTTTTGCTTCCTTATCCGTTACATCACCTGAACTTCCAGGTGGCTACATAGTTGTTGGTACACGATGTACCTAAATAGCGTTTTGACATGGCAGCAGCGTCGTTTTATATTCAGATTACATTGAGTAAAGCCTTGTGGTTTGGTGCCACAGGCGTAGAGCCTGTGGTAACAGCTATAAGTTTAGAGGCACGTCGCAATGAAGTTATACGACTGTTTGCTGAAAACCACAGTGCATTCACTCAGCATAAGGAACTGTTATCCTGCTGTTATCTCAGTAGATAACAGCAGGGGGATGCATGAAATGCCCTTTTATGGAATATTTTGTTGTTTCATCAAACAGTTTTTATCAGAGTTGCCTCTTTTACTGTAGATGTCCATACAGGCCCTAAACCACTTAACCACAGTTGCAGCATATTTGCTGACAAAGAAATACCCACAATTTGAGTAATATTAATGTATATGACATTTTATTTCAGATTGTGTGGAGTGATTACAACAATTTCTTTAACAAAATAAAACCCTTATTGAATTGCCAAGTGCTGACAAAGTCACTTTTGCAACTTCTTGCCAGTGTGGAAGAAAATGAATCCAGGTTGGTTCTGACTGCCTCTTTGTGCTCATGGAATGAGATTGGAGCAGATTATCGCATATTTTACTGATTTTTAGATTTTTTTCAAAAAAAAAAAAGGTCTTAACTTGAAAATTACAGTTTAGAGAGATCCTGATTTCCCTCGAAGCCGTACAGTCCATCCGGAAAGTATTCACAGCGCTTCACTTTTTCCACATTTTGTGATGTTGCAGCCTTATTCCAAATTGTACTAAATGGATCTCTTTTCTGAAGATTGTATGCACAAATTCCCCATCACGACACTAGGGAAACTTTTTTTTTTTTTTAGACTTTTGCAAGTTTATTAAAAATAGAAGACAAAGAAATCATTTTGACATAAGTATTCAGTGTTTTTGCGTAAAACTTTGTTGATCAATTCCAGCCTTTTTGAATAGGATGCCACCAGCTTAGCTCATTCACAGGTTCTGAAGCTGCTCCTTAGAGGTCTTTGCTATGTGTTTTGTGTCGTTGTCCTGTTAGCAAGTGAACAGTCTCACCAGTCAGAGGGTGAAGTGGGTTTTCATCCACAATGTATTCATTTCCCCTCTGTCTTGACTAGTTTGGCAGTTCCTGCTGCTAGAAAACATCCTCATCGCACCATGATGCCACCACCGTGTTTCACTGTAAGGATGATAATGAGCCTTGCCATTTCATGCTTGGTGTTTGACCTCTGACCTGTCATCTATTGGACCACATATAGACAGGTGTTTGTCTTTCCAAATCAAGTCCAATCAACTGAATTCACTACAGGTGGGCTCCATTTAATCTGCAGGAACGTCTCAGTTTTGAGCTTCATTGCAAAGTCTGTAGCTACTAAAATGTTCCTTCTAGGTTTCTGTTTTAATTAATTTGCAGAAAACCTTCAAATGTTTTTCACATCGCCATAAGGGGTATTTGTGTGTAGATTTTGGGGAAAGAGATTAATGCAATTTGGAAAGAGGCTGCAACATGACAAAATGTGGGAAAAAGTGAAACTTTCAGGATGCGCTGTAACACATTATGTACCCCATTATGTGTCATAAAAAGTCAAAACAAAATCCGTCAAGACAAAGACTTTTAAGTGCACATCGTGAACATGTCTAAACAGAATGTATTTTTTTTTGTCCGCCTCCAATCTACGAATAAATAGACTACAGAGAAACAAAACCTTTCTGTAAATCAATTAAGCTTGTGAAGAAGGGAATCATCTGTTCATATGTGGAGCGGTCAGTGCATTCCTTTAACAGCAGGGATATTTTGAAGGTTTCCTCTGACCTTCCTTTCTTGTTTACTTTCTGTCTAGATTTACATGTCAGGACGTAAAGTGAACCTTAATGCAGCTTAGGATAACCCAGACTCATCACATTGACATGAGTTACTTCTGTCAGTGATTCCCAAATTGCCTAAAATCAACAATGGAGCAGTCAGATCAGCACTGACTCATCCTTTACCTCTGACTGAGCCTGCGGTATTTGTTTTCTCTCTTCAATCAGCAGCATTGAGTCACACTGTTTTAGTTTGGACTCGGATGGAAGCTCTTTTTAAATGAGCTCATCGTTTTATATTCGACAATGAAAAGTACTGTTATGACTGCTTGGGTTTTGGGGCGGTCGCCTTTGATTCATTCATAAAGATGTAAGAAATTCTTGATTTTTTTTTAAAATCAATGCAAATGACTGATTTTTTTTTTTTTCAGTTTTACGTTGAAAACATTTTTTTCTGATACACTAAAACTTTTGTTTTCTGCGAGACGTAACCAGTCAAATAAACTGAAATAAACCCAGACATTGATCCCCGGTAGTGATTTTGCAATTGAACTACTGAAATAAGTCGACTTTTTATTGATATTTACCTCATCGTTTCCATCATTACAATCCTGACCTTCCTCTTTACTGTCATTGATAAACAGAGCGTCTTCAGTCAGAGGCTTCTTCAAATTTGCTCCTATACAGACTGCTACAATCAGAATGAACAATGTTTTAGAAATGATCAGTTGCGCAAGTATGCTGCTTTTTTAAAATGTATTTATGCGATTGACAAAAATATTACATCAAGATTCCTGCATCACAATGTTTAGCTAATTTTCATCACCAATCCCTTGAAGGATCTTCAACAGAGGATGCTTTGTTGTTGCATTTTTAACTTTATGTCTCCGTTGTAGGTTTTGTGAAATGCTGCGGACAAAAGCCTTGGATTTAATGTGAGTGTGCCTGGAGACAGCACTGCTGCCACCATGAAGAGTGAAGTGCCATCTGAGGCCTCTAGCAGACAGGAGCATCTGAAGGAGCCACTGGTGAACCCAGAGTCCATGGACGGGACTAAGAACTTCCCCAACAACATGGAGGTTCTCGGAAAGGCAGCCAGCGACTTCGAGGCCCTTTGTGAATCCAGGCACCGGCCCCTGAGGGACACGGGGACGCACAGAGACTCGGAGAGGAGCCTGGCAGGGCGGAGAAAAAGGAAAGGGCAGCAGGCGGGGCCGTCGGACTGTTCACTGAAGGAGGACCACATCAGTGAGAACTCGCTGGCTCCTCAGCGGGCCAGAGTAGAACTTTTACCGCATCCCAGTGAGGATGAACAGAACAATGAGTCGTCCTTTAGTGACTGTGCCTCTTCCCCGTCATCCAGCCTGCGGTTTGGAGACTCTGACACCCTTAGTTCAGATGATGAGGGAGAAGCCGGAGCGACAGGGGGCCAACACAAGGCCCCTGCCCTACCACCTGGCGGAGGCGCCGCGGTCGGCCTGCGCCCCAGTCTGGGCCGAACTCGGGGTAGTCGCTCTCACAAGTGGGTCCGACCCGAGCCCGAGCCGGTGCTGTTGAAGCGGCCGTGCCTGAGCAGCCGGCGGCCACCGCATCGGAAGCGCTTTGTGAAGACGGCTCCTGGCGGAGGCCAGCGGACTCAAAAGCAGAAGGAGCGGCTGCTGCTGCAGAGGAAGAAACGGGAAGTGATCGCACGGAGGAAATACGCTCTGCTCCATAGCACCAGCAGCTCCAGCAAAGAGCTTAGCAGCGACTCGTCCTCGGCGTCATCAACTGAAGCAGAAGACGAGCTGTATGTGGACGTCAGCAGCACCAGCAGCCAGCCGATCAGTGCTACTGTAGCCACAGGTAAGGACAAACCTTTCACGCACACCTGCCTTGTTTGGTCCATTTTGAACAAACTCTGGTACATTTTTCCAGAAAGTCTGGTTTGATTTGGGAGGTGTGAATCAGATTTGGACTTTGGTGCAGCTCATATGCATATGTGGATGCAATCAGACCAGAGACCACTAAAAAAGCATATAGCGAACTATAGTGTAGGGCATTCTGGGTAAATAAAAAGTCTATCTCAAGCAGGAGAAATGACTCGTGGTCTTTTACCAAAGACAAGAGAAATCCTACAATCCCTAAAATCTTCTTCTACTCCACTTTTGTTTGCCTTTTGTGACAAAGCAAGTTGCACTCATGTCTTCAGAGATTTTCATCTCGCTTCCTTCAGTGGTTCTTAGTGCAGCGCCACCACAGGTGAAGGTTATAAAGTTTAATATGCACCTATTAGAAGATATGTGATGAACTGAAGGCATTTATCTGTCATGCAACAAGTGCCTTAAAAACATAAACAAATTTTGTATATAATGCAACATAACGGTGCTTTTATTTGTTCAAGTGACTTCAAAAACTGCATTTGTCACATTTGTTCCAGCTTTATTTTCTAAATCTTTAGAAATTGTGACCTCAGACTCTCGCTTCAGTTACCAGCTTTTATTTGAAGCACAAATAATGCAATACTGTAAAAACTATGCAGTGAAAAGCAGGAAGAGAAAACGGGCCGAGACAAGGTCGTGCGCAGCTTACAACGATCAATGTGCTGCTGTTTTTATTCGGCTCATACTGAGGGTCTTTGTGTCCGCTCCGTGGAAGCAGGATTTTCTGCTGTTTCACAAATGTAGTAATTGTAGAATAATTGATTGTGGTGGAAGAAACTGAGTGACTTAGCTGAGCTGACGTGGTGCAAGTGTTTTCTCCTTTTAGTGTTTTATTGTACCTGTGGTCATGGCTGCAGCTGCTCCTCGAGATTAGTGAAAACTCGTACATCATCCAGTCCCATCTGAAATGGGACTGGATTAACGGATATTATCAAAACTTGGTTTTAAAAAGGCAGATTTGATTCTATTCTAGTTTGGTGGGATAAATAAAATTTATCAATGGATAAAATTTTAGATTTTTGAAGATTTGTTTTTGCACCAACGCACTCCTTGGGTTTCCATATTTGGGAGTGATGTCCAAGCTCCCAGAGCGGCCATTTTGTTTGGAAAGGCGCATTTTACACTTTTCTTTTTATTGGGACTTTGAATTCAGGTCAACTGATCAAAGGGCCATTTTAAGATTTTACTTACGAGAATAAGATCACACAACCACAAAGTCAAAATAAAGCTACTGCAAAGATATACAGCGTTGCCAGCATGAAGATGTAATGTAAGTGAAAAGTATAGTAGTAATTTTATGAGAACTCAAAACACAAAAATTAAAAAAAATTAAAGTGAAGAATGTTGTTGTAGACATAAGTTATATGTTGGTTTGAGTTTTACAGATAAGAAAATACTTGATGTTAATACATCACTATGAAATTATCATAGCAGGGCTTTGAAGGGATTGTGCAAATGGCTGGATGTATTTCGAAGAATAGCACACAGACTGGGGTGATCACCTCAGATCTTGATAACGCTAGAAGCTTTTTTTCTCAATTAAAAACCATTTTTTCTGACAGTTTTCAGAGGTTTTTCAGGTAAAATTGTGTTTTTATCCTGCTAATATCATGACGGTGTTCTTGTAATTCAATAAATATTCTTATGGCCTAGTCGTAACATGCCTTTGTGCAATTTACAGAAGAGATTTTTAAAAACATGTAATATGCTTCTTTTAGAAAAGAATAATTTTTAAAAAAAATCAGAGCTGGTATGAAAAATGTGAGATTTTATTTTTAAGCCATACTGCCAAGTCCTAGTAGTTTGTAAAATGCATCTTAGCAAAAAATGTAATATTCAATGTTTATTTTTTAGTTTTTTGGTAAGTCTGATAAAAGCTGCAGCTTCTGTTGCCATATGTTAATGGCAACCGCTTCCCTCTGTTACAATAACAGCTTTATGCAGATCGTGAGCTCAAGTAACAACACTCTGGTGTTTCTCTGAGCAAGAGGATCATAAGCCCCACCTTTACTTTGGCATACTGTATCTCCTGTGTAGCCATTTAGCCTGGGTAATATTCCTGCTGCCGCGGCCCACGGGGAGAATGGAAAGTTAGCTGTTCTCCCTCCTTGGCGGGAGAGAAGCGAAGGCGCTGCTGAGCAGCAGCCTTTCGCATGGAAACAAAAGGTCTCTGAGGAAAAGCGAAGCATTTGTTGACAGCAGGACGTTTCATCACCAGGGGAGGTGATGAAACCTTCTCTGTGAATGTCCAGCGCTGGAGTGGGTGCGCCAGATATTCAGGGAATAGCTTTGGCTTACCTGTAAGACAAGTTTGATGTAAGTTATTGAAATCAATTGAAGTTAAGCACCTCAGATGACTGCCACTATTCCATTATAAACCAAACAATGGCCCTGAAGTGAACAAAACCTTGCTTTTCAATGTTTTAGTCTTGTTTTTTTACCTATTTATTTATTAAGCGGGGTTTATAAGCCTGGTGGGCCACCAGGCTTTACTTGACCCTCCCCCAGGCTAAATAAGCATTGCTTGTGTATTTCTTAAAATAAAATGGTTCGAAGCACAATGGCAATATAGTAGGTATGTTTTATTCATTCACTGGAACAGTCTGTCTTTACTGGTCTACACGCTAACAACTTCAGCAAATAAGGTGACAAGTCACGAATAAAGAATCCAAAAAATTTGGACACTTTAATTAGGATAAAACAACTAAAATGCAAAAAAATAATATTTTAATGTTTGATTTTCTTTTTAGCAATATCTTCCAATAACTTGTCATATTTTTAAACTTTCTGCCGACTTTAAACATTTTTTAAACCAAAAACATGACGTGCCACTGGCAGACTGCCCTACCACCGCTACCTCTGGGCTTAGCAAGTTTTCTGGGGAAAACCCTGTTAAGAATAGCAGCTGTCAGTGTAATTTACTCAGCCAGAGTGAGGAGTTCACTTGCAGGCAGCTGGACCTGCAGACGGTGCCTAGCAGCAGCTGTCATGAGAGAGTTGGGACTAAAATCAGAAAGAGGGAAACATGGATTTCATGAGCAAGTCAAGGAGATGTGCACTGAATCAGACCTTACCGCATGAAGTAGACGTTACTTTATTTTCATCTTACAAAATAATGTTCTTCAGTGCACGTCTCATTGACTAACTCATAATGTTCCCCCTCTGTGACCTTTATTCTGACTTTTATTCCTTTGTCTTACATGGAGTAAGAGCAGCACTAAGTTGCAGTACTTCCATGTATGCTGTTTCCTCCGAATCTTACAAACATGCCTCACTGTGAGCTCTTTCAGAATGTGGGATGACAGTGATAAAGTGGGCAGCGGCAAAGTGCTTAAGATTTACACAAAAAAGCTCAGTCTTGTTACAGAAGTTTGACTCACACATCCAGCGAATGAGTCAGGAGCTCTCACTTACACTGAGATATCGTGACAATAATTAGAAACAGGCCCACGACTGTGAGAACTCAGATCTGTAACTGGTGTGACCACACTGTCACGCTTTCTGAAAATAAGAAAATATGTTGTTTGATTTATGAACTCCAAAGACTGCAAACGTATGACAAAACGTGTTCCATGTTTATATCCTTCTCACTTATTATTTACAGAAATTGGCCTGTTAAAGTACTTATTCAACTTTTTACGTTTTTTTTATATTTACGTAAAACTAAACAAACAATTCGGATGCTGACATTACTGCAAGATTTCTTTTTCATTTTCATTGTTTTGAGAGTTAGATTGCACAAAACAAAGACCCCCGTTGATGTGCCCAGGCTTCAGGTTTTGAAGTGGCACAAAATAAACGTTGAAGTTTCCCGGGGCAAGATACCGAACCACACTTTCAACCAAGATATTTTTCTGTAACCGAAACGAAAGCTGAATATACAGAGTGCAAATACTCTGTTTTTAAAAGAAATCAAAATGTGAAGCGAGTGGCAAAAAAACTGATCAAGCAAAAAACTGAATGAGTTTTGAGGGGTATCACAACCAGACTAGAAGAGTTTCTGGCCCAACTGGTCAGAGGGAAGCTGCCTAGTGTCTCCCACCCCAACGTAGTCCAAGTGGTCGCTTTTACAAGGTGTTGAAGGTGAAGGAAAGTGTGTATAATATCGGTAAATAATGGTTATTGGCTATAACAGTAGTATTAATATTGGATATCAAAGTTTTTACATATTGGTGCATCTTTAATAAGTTTTTAATAATTTTTTTTTGTCCATGTCAACCAGCACTAACCAGAGTTATGTAACATTTCCAGTTATTCTCTGTAGGTTTATGTGAAAATGATGTCTCATGTTTCCTGATGACGTGCCTCAGTGTAGCGAAACTATTGCTACCCCCGATCACAACCCTTCCGCCTCGGGTTCACTCTCCCAGTGATTCAACGTTACTCTCAGTTCCGCCGGTTTTTAAGAAATGATTCCTCTAAGTGCTCACCAATCACGGTTACAAAATCAAGACGTTATTATGACCACATGACGACACTTTTTGCATGGTTTGTAGGATGCGTTAATGTGCGCTGGTGTGTGTAGGTGCTCTGGATGAGGATGTGGTCGTGATAGAGGCGTCTCCAGCTCCAGCGAATGCTGTTCCCGCCAGCGAGGAGATCAACGTCACCTCGACGGACAGCGAAGTGGAGATCGTCACCGTTGGAGACGGATTTAGGTAGGTGCTGAAGGGTCTGACGGTTTTGTTTGGTCGCCCTAAAGCGCACGTGTCAAACTCCAGGTCCAGGGGCCAAATCTGGCCCACTATAGCTTTTTATGTGGCCCTCTTGACTCTAGAGAGCCAACATTAAAAGGAGCTTCAAAAACCACTTTAGTGCTTAAAAAAGGATTTTATCAAAGCATCTTCCGAATTACATCAATGTGAGAAAAGGTTCAATAATATTTAATTTCAATGGATATTTTTATCAATACATTCTGCCACAACTGGCCTTTCGAAGACATTCTCGATCTTGCTATTGCCCAAAATGAAAGTGAGGTTGACACCCCTGTCCTAAAGCATCAGTAAGCAATTGAATTGTAATAAATATGATTTTTGTCGCAATGTTATGAAATGAAAAACCTGAGCAGTTATTACTGCTTGTTGTACTTGGCTTCAAGCCCTGCAGCCCCACTTCCTCCAGCTTTACTTGATTATATTACCTTTTAATTAAACATAACAAGGCATCTGAACTCCATTCAGTTCAACAAATGAATTTATTGTTTTATTTGCTTTGGCTAGTTTAGCTCTTGAAGCGCTGCAGATGCACCGTAGCTTTGGCGCTTTAGTGAACACATTTCCCTCTTCCTAATTCCAGTCAGCATTATTTAGCCTGAGTCGCTGCCAGGCCTGTTTATGAGGTCATTGTTCATCAATAAATGAACAATGACCTCATAACTTCTAGTTTTACCTCATACCTTCTTCTTTATAGATATGAGGAACGTGCTTTAAGTCTGAGAATGTAGTATAGACAAACATTTGTTTCCAGGCATTTGTTTCCAAAAAGCAACGCTGATAAAACAACACCCAATATGTCTGCTCTGCACATCATATGATGTATTTTATTTACTTACTAATAATAAACATTCGTTTTTCTTGACGAAATGCTTTCCCTGCCCTCCATCTTTGTATACAGCTGTAGATTGTGCCTGTCACAAACCTAATATTTACACATTAAATCATAGGTGAAGAACATAGGAATGAAATTATTAATGAAAAATAAGAAAACCTTTGTCTGAGAAATGTCTTTTTTTTTACTTATTTTTTCACATATAAATTGTGTAGGAATCTTGTTTTGGTTCAAGAAGCTCAAATAGTCCATAAAACAGAGGAACTAAAAATCCTTTTTGATGGTTTGATTCAGGCTGAAATGGTTTGAGTTGTCTAAACTTATTGAAATCTATTCGACTGAGTTATTTCCATAATCTATCCAAACGTTGCTCTTTATACATCAATCTTTTATTGAATAATCTAGAGGCTCCTGCTCCTTTCCTAGCTTCAGTCGTGTCCTTTTGGGAAGGTAAAGATTTCACTCTTAGCCTCTGAATATTATTTTGTTTTTGCGATGACAAAAAGTCAGGATCCTCTCATTTCATTTTCTGTTCCTGTTGTGTTTGTTTGAGTCTGTGTGATGATTTTCTGGGATACAGCCTTTTTTTTTTTTTTTGCCATTCTGAAGCTTTATGAACTTGAAAGAAGTTCTGCAGCTTTGCATTTGTGTTTATTAATTTACAGAAGTGCTAATTTGAACAAGACGAGGAGGCTAAGTTGAAGGAAAGTCCCATGAGGAAACTTTATTTTAGAACAACTAGATTGTCAATAATTACCATTTGGGTTATAATTTGTGTTGAAACACAGGACAAAATATTAAAGAAATGAATTTATCGAGAATGAATCTTGGTTGTTGACTTCATCAACATGTTAAAGTGAAAAGCTGCTGATGTAACTGTTGCAACATCACAAATCCATCCCACTGAACCCAGGACTTTCTTGCTGTAAGGCAACGATGCACCACTACGCAGCCCATCTTTTACTGATCATATAGGTACAGCAACAGAACGTCATTATTCTGAAATATGTCGAATTGTTCTTCTCTTCATCACCCCCCCACCCCCAGGCATGTTGAGAGTCATATTTTCCCCCATTCATGTGTAAATGTCTGTTTCAGTACCCCTTTTAATCTGTGATCCTGCACAAACGTGGTCACATCTGTCACATGTTTTTTTTCTCCCCTCACTTCTCTCACCACATCCCTGTTTTCATTTTAGCTCCAAGTCACTAAGAATATATGTTTTCGGTTCCTTAAAGTTGCTATCCAGAGCTCGGACGGTCATGATTTGCCTTCTTTCCTGTCACTTTTCAGATCTCCTCTCTCACTAGATAACGTAGCGATGTGTTGAAGTGGGGGATGGGCACCAGTGGAGCAGGAGGGTGGAGAATCAAAGGCCGACAGAATGAGCAACGAAATCTCTGTTCATGCTGACATCGGCCCTGTTTGCTAACATTCAACTGCAGTTTTCGTCACTTGTGTCTGTTAATTCGTACTACAGTCTTATTATGTGCTGGGATTTCACATCTATATATTAAACAGTAAACTGTTAGAGTTGTGTGACATTTAAAAGCAGCTTTTGGCATCATCAAGAAGAGAATAAGACTTTTTTAAAAAAAAATAACTAACGTGTCCTTCCCAGGGGTGTTTTCTAAGAGTAATAATTTGAATTATGAATCAGTATTTGTTTATTCATGTAAGTACTCTACAATAGAAGTGCAATAGAAGACGTTTCTATTAAGTTGGCTGCATTTTACTTGTAGTTTCCACTGATAATAAATAGCAGCAGACATGTTCACCGGTCTCTGCTTAGTACATGCAGACTTTTTTTAAAAATGTGATCTTCAGGTAGATTTTCTATGTAACTTGTTTCCAGAAAGCGTAAGAAATCTTAAATCATGACGGGAAAGTCTGCTGTATAGCTGAGTGCCATAAATTGTTTACCACTCCTCACTCTGCTATTCCTGCCCTCCCTCCCTGTTGAACTCCCAAACTCCCAACCTTAGCTGTCACCAGCATCAGCCCCAGCAGCTTACTCCACATTGCCGCAGTGCACGCAGCCCGTCACTCTCCTCCCGTCCCCGGGGGTCCGGGCCTCGTGTCGCTCTGCCTTGGCACCACCTCAGCCCTGCCAAGCCCCCGCCATTCCCATAGTGATCATATTTATAACCTTGTGTTTTCCTCTCTGCTGGAACCCCTCGTCCCCAGAGGTTTCCAGTGGTAAACAGATATTTACAAAATAATCCCAGTTCTGCTTAATTAGCAGCCCTTCCCTCGTGTCAAGCCGTGGCCCCTTGGGGTCAACCCAGAGTACAAGGAAGTCCAATTACACTCCCCACTCATCTCCTCAATCTCTCTCTACATCCCAGCCTCAGCGCCGGGTTGTTGGGAGTTTATTATTGCACCCGGGTTATAAGTTGGTTATAAGTTGTAAGTTGCTGTAGAAAGAGTGTAAAAGGTAATTTTTGCTTCCTCTTCATACCACTTTGATTGTGTATGTGAAAGGAAGTGAGCAGATGGGAATTCCCCATATTGCAAACGGCACGAATAAAAGCATTTCCTGCCTCATGGGTGCAGAATGTAATGAAAGCCAACGATCAGGCTTATGTGAAAAACTATATTATTTAAGAAATTTATATCATTACACAGTAAATTTACATCACTGTAAGCTAATGCAAAAAAAAAAAACTGTCTGAAAAGAATATTGTATATTTTGTTTCAGCACACACAGTTCTCATATTTAGTATTCAGGTCATTTCAAGTTTTTAAAAACTAGTTTTATTTTTTAATTTGAACTGAAAATAAACAAATAATCAGGTGCATTTTTCTTGAAATTGCAATTACAAGTTTGCTTTGTGCATAAAAAGCGGCAATATTTGCAGTAAAGTCTGGCTTTTACTAGTTTCTGGATTTCATTGAGGTCTGACCAGAGGACTCCAGTTTTAATCAGCCCCAGTTTTCCTTTACAGGAACAAACGGACAGCATAAACTTTGTTTTAACTCATAATAAAAAAGAAAGTAACAAGCATAGAACATTAAAGGATACAACGTGCAAGAAAATTCCTAAAAAACAAATGTCACTAACCTTTATCTGATTTTTACCAAACACAAACATGTATAGTGATTTTTTTGTCTTTACAGGTTGAAGAATGTGGGAATTATTTGATTTTTGATGTATTTAATAAACAGAGTAAAATATATATATGTAAATGAGTCACTGATCTGTGGATCAGTGACCTTAATACATTTGAATTTGCTGGGGAAACAATTTAAAATGGTGATGCACAGTTAAAAGAAGAAACAAAATTGTATTTCACCACAGGTCAGATTTTTGTTCCTTTTAACAACAAAATAAAGCTGAGCAGACCAGCAGAAGAACCTCACTGTGGTTTGATCCACTGCTTATAAACTAAAATAATGAAACAAAAATCACGTGATTTCTATTAGCTTTAGTAACGTGGGAGTGAAATAATTTATTATGCATAGTAAAGAAACATCCTTGCAGGCTACAAGGCTGTTGACATCATAAAATGTTAAACATCAAAATTAAGAGTCAAACTTTCCCATCTGTCTGTAAACTGAACAAACAAGAAAAATCATGATTTTAATTCAGATTTCTCATCTGATTAAATCATTCTGTTAAGGTTTTCTCTCCAAGATCAAACTCTTTCTCCGTCGCTGCTGGATATTTTTCAAAAGCGCTCCACCGGCAGCACTCAGGTCCCCTACCTCAACGTCTCCATGGCAGCCTGCTTCATGGCACTCCCACACAGCTTCCTGCCTCTTGGGGTCATTCCTCCTCCCTCTGTTCACCCGTCTCTCGCCGCACCACGGAGGGAGCTGTGGCTACTCCCTTGTTTCTCACCCCCGTCTCAGAGGCCGCGGACAAGAGCAACAGGAGCCTTTGAGAGAGAAAATTAAAAGACAGAGGAGAACAGGGCGAGAGGACGAGGAGGCGCAGAAGCTGACATTTGAGGGGCATGCAGGAAAATTAAAGGTGTCTGGGGAATAAAGAGGAGGATTTGATGCAAGTTGTGCATTCTGAGTTCTTGTGGTTGAGCTGCACACTGATTATATTAATGTCTTCAATATCAATATTTATTTGATTGTGTCATTTAACCTTTGGATATGATGATTCAAAGGTGTATTCTTTATAAAATAAAATAAAAACTGGATAATACTGACCATCCTCTTCATTAGCCCATCTTTGGAAAATAGTGTTTCAGTCAGAGGCTTCTTTAGATTTACTGTAATACAGACTGCTACAAAAGATTTTTCTACAATAACTCTTTGAGGAATTTGAGGTAATGAGTCACAAAATCATTTAATTTCCTTTTTGCATCAAAAAAGTATTTTTGATTTAAATATCTGGGCATTTTTTATGCCGATTTGTCCTCCGTCTTGTACACTTGGTCTTTACACTTTCCAGAATAACCACTATTGAATTGCTTCACTTGTTTGCATATTCAATCAATCAATCAAATTTTATTTGTATATTTTCAACTCTTGGATTTTATCGCTGTGTCTGTCAGCTTTCACTAAACTTGAATGTTCTGTTTCAGAAAATCTCAGCACCACTGAGTTTTGAAAATATAACTTCTAGTTCTATTCCTCAGTTTTGTCTTGGAGGTAATTTTTCTTTTTTATGTCTGCTTGCATGCAGGTCACGCTCAGTCGGGGGTCTTAGTAGGATTTGGGGCAGTAGTTGTGCCCAGAATCGGCTCCAGGAGCCGCGAGGACGTCACCGGCTCTCAACAGTCATCCAGCCGCTGCGCCAGAACCCCGGGGAGGTGGTGGATCTCACAGTGGACGAGGATGGTAAGGTGTCCAACTTCCAGCTCAACGTCTGGCCTGAATAAAATGAACACGTCTTGATTTTTAAAAAAGTCGATTTAATGTGAAAACCCTCAATGTATTGTATTTGGCTTTTAAGTTATAGTATTGCCTAGCTGTGGAAAAGAATGAAAACAATGAGTAGTTTCTATATTTTTTTTCTAGACCAAAAAAAATCTGTGCAAAGTCATTTGTACAAGTGCAAAAAGGCAAAACAGTACGACCATTTCTAAAATTTACATTTTCACTTGTTTATATTTGCATAACTTCTAAAAACAACCCAAGCTCCTAAAAAAAAAATAAAAAAAAACCTCCCAGCTGTTTTCTGTCAATCAATAAATGTATTTTTGTGCCTGGAAAACGAGTAATTTCCAAATCTTCCCAAATATTAAGTTGGAGTCAGTGGGCACCTCGCTGTTCCCTAGCAACCTTACCAAAGCCCTGTCCTTCACCTAGCAACCAAGTGGAACTCCAGCATGATTGGTCAGCTGGTTTTACTGCTGCACGTAATGTACAAAGGCTGCTGGAAGAGACAAGTGTCCTCTGTTTGCAGATAGTTTTCTGTGTGGGTGTAAACATTGAGTTTAGGGGCGTGGCCGACAGCAGCTTATTTTGATTGAAAGTGACAAAAGTCCTAAAAACCAGCTCATCCTGAAAGGAGCTCAAAATAGGCAGAACTGACCAGACTAAAATCTCCTTATTTAAGAATGATTTTGTGCAAAAAATGTGATGGACATATTTTTTTGATAGACAAATTCAAGGCTGCATAAGAGGTTACCCTCAAAGTACAGAACACTATTGATCAAGAAAGTCTGCTCATTTAAAGATGCATACAAAGTGCAGAATGTTTGATGCTTTGACTCATTTATGTCTCTACTGAAAATTAATTGGGTTACAGACTGTTCAAAACATCCAACTATCTGTGCATCCTTATTCCTATGGGTTTTATCCTTGAAGTCAAAGCTTTCCTGATGTTATACCTTTTACTTTACTCACTCAATTTAAAATAGCTTTGAATAAAATGTGAGCTATTGTAGCAGATGTGATAACAAAAATTTTAATTAAAAGACAGGAAAAAAAGTGTTTATTAATTGAAGAAGTAAATCACTATTATGCATCAGTGAGCACCGACTTGTACATAAGCCAGCAGCCATTAAAGCCTTACCAGTTCTTTAAAGGCACAATTCTCAGCCTGGGACTGAATTCAATCAAAACACTTCGGCAGCAAAGCAATTTAACTAAAGTGGACTGTACTGTGTGTGCTTCTCTGTAAACTCTCCTCAGTCGTAGAAACAAACCTTATTATCCTCTCAGTATTTGCAGCCTATCTGCTTTTCATAATCTCAAATTAATTTTTCCCTCCCTCCCCTGAGAAATGCAAACACTGGGAGGCCTTTCGCTTTGGTCTGCATTACCCCGTAGAGGGCAGCAGCGGCTGCCCTCTACGGCTCAAACGCTAAAGTTTTAAAGTGGTCCACCCTATTAACAAAGGAATAAAAAAAGAAACTTATTTATGTTTTTTTTAACATAAACTTGACAAGACTTTGTCATAATTAAAGAAAAAGCAAACATAAGTATTGTACTAACTATGAGACATTCATTCAGCTTGCCTGTCTTTTTTTGCCTTAATTTACGGCTGTTTCTCTTCACTAATGGTTTGTAAAAAATATTGAATTAGGGCTGTAAACAGACTGTTCTTATCTTATCAGACTCTGGAATCACTGTGCATTAATTATTGTCATTAATATCTTTTCTAATTTTCTAAATTTTGTGTTATTTTTTTTCTCTGCAGATCTCTCAGTCGTACCAACAACCTCCGGCAGCATTCACACTCAGACAGTAAGGTCGTCCTCTTCATCGTCGTCCTCCCATCACGCCTCTACCTCTGAGCTCAATGATGCCCCGGGCCCTTCCACCAGCTGCGCAGGTTCAATGCCTGAAAGTGTGCACACGCAGAGAGCCAGTGGTTCTGCTCGCACAGCCGCAGAAGGTACGGTGACATGAGGACAGTGAAACCAGCTACTGTTGACAGATCAGCCGTGATGTCTGGTTTATGTTTACAGAATGGCCACATATCCTTAAAAATCGCTTGAAAGTGTATGTATCTAAAATTAAGGCCTTAAAATGCCTTAAATTAAGTTGGCCTTAAAGGTGCAATATTTTTTTCTTGTATGACTTTTCTGTCAGGCCGATGTTTGAATTACATTTGAGACGTTTCTTCATTTTATTCTGTGACTGAATGCTGTTGTAACTCGCTGCTAATGTACCCTTGCTAACTAGTAAAAGGTATATTAGCAGCTATATATGGAGTGAAAATAGAGGAAGGAGAAAAACTAGGTAGCTAGCTACAATTGGAAGGAGAAAAGCTGTCTAGGTTAAATAAACCTAGATAGTTTTTGGCTAGGTATGAGAAATGGAAGGAGAAAAACTAGCTGGTATCTAGCTAAACCAAACTAGCTAGCTAAAAACAGAAGGAAGAGAAAAACTAGCTAGGTAGCTATCGGATCACGTCTCTTGCCGACACATACAATGAAACCTGTGCAAAAAAAAAAAAAAAGCTTAGCCCCACAAGGGTTAAGGCTGTTTCTTTTGTACATTTCTGATGTGATACAGATCTTAAATTTCATTAATAACGGTCTTAAAAAGGCTGGAAGAAGTCTTAAATTTGAGTTGGAGGAACCTGATAAAGACCTTGTTTTTAATCTAATCTGTGTTGAAATAATCTATCTTGTGATTCATTTTTTTTCTGTTCAGATGACAACAGACCAGGCTTGTCTGGTACAGGAGGAGAAAACTCAGGCACAGCCATGCCCAGACTCCCATCCTGCTGTCAGCAGCACTCTCCGTGCAGCGGCCCCTCTCCTGGTCACATGTCCCTCAGCCACTCCCATTCTAGCTGCTTGCAAGCGTCCTCCTCTCAGCAGACCGCCGGCTCTCAGCACAGCCACAGCAACACTCACCACTTTGTCCACCATATCCATCACCCTGCACCACAGCCCCCGGGAACTTTACCCTTTCAAGAGCCGAGCTGCCCTGTGGAACGCCCCAGTGCTCTGCCTGCCCCCTGTGCTGGAGTTAGCAACAGCAGCAGCAGCAGCAATGCATCCCACTACCATGACCAGGTATGAAGGAGCTGAAGCTACAAAAACACTAAACCTTACCTTGTATTTTTGCGCTAGTTTCTACTGCAAATATCTTAGTACATTCAAAATAAGACAAAAGTAACTTTTCAACACAATATAGGTGCTTGTTTTAAGTAAATAATTCCTTTATACTGATGAAAATGTACTATTTATAAGTACATTGCACACATTTCAGCAACAAGACAGTTCAAAGTGCTTTATTTATTTTTTATTATCATGGCTGTATAAACTCAAAGTGCTTCTTCATATTTCTTCTATGTATAAACTACAAATCAAATCTGCAGGATGTCAGGAATTCTGCATATATTTTCTTTTATATTAGTTAGAAAAAACTACAACTTGTTTCGCAGATTGAAATAGACTGATGCCATTCAGTTCTTGCATCCTCAGTGTTTCCGTTTCCCTCCCACAGCAAACCCTGCCAGTGGACCTGAGCAACAGCAGCGTTAGAGGCGGTGGCACCGGGGGTGCTAGTTTCCATGGCAGCACGTCAGCCTTTGACCCTTGCTGCCCGGGCTCCTCCTCACGGCCCCCTGCTTATGTTTCACATGCCACCCCAGGGCCCAGTCAGCCAGCTGTGGTGGACTCATTCAGCTCCTCCATGGTGGCTCAGCCACAAACACAACCTCAGCCCTGCAGACATTACATGCATCCGCCTTGTGAGTACAAGAAAGAGTTGCTGATTCCCATAATAATTCAGCATAGAGAATAAAGCTGTGTGATGAGGAAGTGTGGGTGACGCTGCACCACCCATATTTCTGTCTGTCAAGTTTATTCGTGCCGCATGTTTCAACAATAAGTCAGTTCGAAGTTCTTTACATGATAACAGGGTTTCCTCCAGAGAACTTGCTAAGCGCGGTGGGCGATGGGGCAGTCATCCTGCGACCCTCTTTGTTTTGGAGTTAAAAATGTTGACAGGAAATCAGTAGCTATTAAAATGCATTAAGAGTACTTAAACACTAAATATAATGTCTTAAGAAAAGGCTAGCATAAAACCATTTCTTACTCTTCACTTATTTCATCTTTTGGTCTGAAGTGACCGAAATATTTTGATAATTTATCTGTGACTTGTAATTTTATTTGCTGAAGTTGTTAGTCTGGTAGAGACAGGCAGTGGTTATGAAGTTCTGGTTTATAAAAATAACATATCATAACAAAAACACTTTATTTGAAGGGGTGTGCATAAGACTGACATGACACAAACATGACATAACACCTGCTGTGAACATGAAGGAGTCTTCATGAATGTGTGACTGTTATCAAGTGTCATTGTATAAATTATGACACTTATGATGCAAAGTTGACATTTATAATGAGGTTTTAATGCAATATTACATTAAAAGTGCACACCCATTCAAATAAAGTGTTACCAAATGAATAAACAATGCTCAGCCTGGTGGGGGGACAAGTAAAGCCTGGTGGCCTGCCAGGCTTAAAATACACTGGGGGAAACCGAGAGATAAAAATAACTGCTGCGATACAGAGTCAAAATAAAGAGAAGTGTTTATGTGGATGTCGTTTTGCCCTTCCGTCCATCGGTCCATCTTTTCGTTCATTGATGTGTCCGTCCCTCCGTGTCCCTGCAGCTTTTGGCTTTTGCAGATCCTAAACTTGAAGTCTGCAAAGTTTATTCATACTCTTGAGCTATTTTTAAAAAGACTGGAAATAAATAAAACATTTTTGTTTTGTGCTTGTTTGGAAATATAACAATTCAAGTTACATTAATTAATAACTTTTTTGTGATCTCTTGTTAATCAGAAAAAGAGGCAACTGGAAATTCCTCATTTGTAACTTAATATCTAAAATGGAGCAAAAGCCTCATTTCTCAGCACAGTCTCTGTATTTTACGGTTAGTTTGGTTTGAATAGATTTACTGACTCTTTCCCCGTTTCTTTCCCTGTTTCCAGATGGCTCTCTGACACGATCCCTGCATCATCAGCCCTCCTCCGCCTGCCCTCACTCCCACGGGAACCCCCAACTCACCCCACAGCCTCCTCCACAAGGCGAATTCCTCATTCCCCACTCCTTTCATACGCCACTGCCATCCCACCCTGCAGGTCACTCGGTTCCTCCAGCACCTCCACCTCCCCTCTCCGCCCACCACCTCCCCACTTCCACCGTGCCGCTGGCCCAGCACCTTCCACCAGACCACCAGACCCTGCAGCACCACATGCCGCCTCTGGGCCCTTCAGTGCAGAGGATGCATCAGCACGAGATGCTGCAGAGGATGGAGGTCCAGAGGCGGAGGATGATGCAGCACCCCACGTGAGTATCGCCACCACGGGTTTGTAAAAGTTGCAGACGTTTATTGGTGAAACGCGTGTATTTATTTTTCTTTGCAGGCGGGCGCATGAGCGGCCACCTCCACACCCCCACAGGATGCACCCCAACTACGGCCACGGACACCACATCCACGTGCCACAGACCATGTCTTCCCATCCTCGCCAGCCTGAGCAGAGAACGACATGGTGGGTTTATGGCTTCGTCTTTTAATCGATGATGTTTGTGTTTCTGAAATGTCTGGATTTCTACCTGCAGCATCGATGTAATAATGACTCTGTCCTGTTGAACAGGGAGCTTGGCATCGAGGCTGGCGTGCCAGTGGCTTCGTACACTTCAGGGCACCTGCACTCTCACCTGCCCCACTACCATACTCCCCCGAGACTGCACCACTTCCCCATCTCCTTAATGGTAGAAGAGACCTTTGCAACTATTAGCATAGAAGATGACAAACACATTTCATACAAAGTTTGTGTTGGATTCGTTCCCCTGGGCCTTATTACTAACATTAGTTACCTCAGAAACAGTTCCTCAGACCTCATGAATTATGCATTAGGAATTAATTCGAGCTCAAAAAGCATTTTAAGTCTGCGCTCAACAAAACCAGGGTCCTTGACCTCCATCTAGAACACCTTTAGTTTGCAGTTTTGCTTTATAATTTCAGATACACAATAACACATTTTGCTGGACGATAAATTGTCCCAGACATTATTGCGATAAACGATAATATTGTTTTGAGACCATTTTGAAGTAATGGTCATGACATATTAATGCAATAACACATTCTCAAAAATCAACAAATTTTAAATTTTGATGAATATTTAAGTTTGGAAGTGGAAGACATTTTAAATATACAAAATAAATGAAACAAACACCAAATATAATGAATTATGAATTCTCTGTGAACAAAGGTCAAGTTGAGACTAAAGCACCAATTTTTGATAGACAGAGATAATTTGTTGGTCTATAATGTTTGTTCTGTGTTAACCAATAGGTTCATTTGAAAAAAAAAAGGAGAAAATTATAACTAATGCAAATGGAAATGATTGAGTTTGTTTTAATTTATCATGCAATAAATTAATTTTTTATTACTGAAATACGTTCAGAAAACATTTTATTTTATTTTTTTTAACTACATGCATTTGTGTAATACCTAATTTAGTTTTATAAATCACATTTACAACATCAGATATTTAGAAATGTTTGTTAAAAAGTTCAACGTCTCTTCTTAAACTGCATGCAATATTTTGGCTCCACTTTAAGTGCTTCACAGGGCCGAGTTGTAATGTTTTTATATTTGCCCGTCTTTGTTTCCTGCAGCACACTACTGGCATTTCTGAAGTGACCTACCCGCACATTAGGTACATCTCATCGAGAATGACTGGCTTTGGAAGAACCTATGAGGTGAGAACTGCACTTCCTAAAGCTGAAGATAAAGAATCAAACACACACATGCACACACACACTGCTGCATTCAGTCCCATCACCTCTAATTTTAGCTAGTTTTATCCAATCACTAAATACAGGTAAATTGGATACTCAGTGCTTGGCAGCTTGCTGTGTGATGCGAGTCCTGTTATTGTCATGTAGTTGTGAAACTTTGTAACCGGGAATAAGGTTTAGACTTTCCACTTTGTGATACAAACTCAGTTTCGTGTCACAAACTCAAAAGACTGATTCCAGGGTGAGAAACGGTTCAGCTCGGTGGCGCCGGGTGTGTCCGTTTTTACCATTCTTTTAAAATGTGACTCAGCTACAGAGGATGATGAAGACGACGACGAGGCCAATGAGACGAGTTTGTCAGCTTTTTCAGTCTCTGACGTGCCGATGAAGAGAAATTGGGTTTGGCTAAAATTTTTATGAGGTATAATATGAGAACATTATTTATTAATATTAGGAGCAGACGTCACGTCTCACCACGTGTGAAAATGACAAAGTACAGAAAAAAAATAAGACAGTCATTTGGAGTTAACATTTGAAACATTTGTTTTTAGCATCTTTAATTAGCATTAGACAAAATAGGACTACTTTTGTCCTATTTTAGTAGGACAAAATTTGTATTTTGTCCTACTAAAATAGTTGTCTTCGATCCCAGACGATGCAGATCCTTAACTTTGAGATTTCACGACCCACAACAGACGGCGATTGAAACCATAAATTTATTTAAAAAAAAGAGGAACTGCTTCTTTTTCGTTGCTATTCTTCCTCCCTGTTATCTCAGACCCACAATAAACCGCAGCTGTGTCTCAACATGGGAAGGAAAATGGTTTCCTTTGAAATGGCTTCTTATATCTTCCTCTATTTGTTACACCTCACAGAAACTTTAAATGGCAACAGTGTTTAGAGTGTTATTATCAGGATGACGCCTAGTTATCACTAGAAAGAAGAAAACGTAGATTTTTCAACCATCGGCAAACTAAAGCTGTCATTTCTGAGGCTAGCTTTTCTGTTGTGTCCTTATGACCTTTTAACATTTATAGAATATCTCAGAATATTTCAGGCTCTTTCGGTACCAGCTGACATCTTTGCAGTAAGTCGCCAAAGGGTTTAAATATCTGTAAAAAGATGCAACGTAATAGGAAGCTGCAGGAGTTAAATTTATGTACAGAGCACACTTAAAAACTTAATCTACAAGATGCAAGCATTTTTAAAAATTTATTTAGTTGTTTTTTAATGTGTAGTAATAAAATGACACACGTACATGTACTCATCTCTCAGGTATTTACATTTATTCTAACCATATAATTACTTTATTCTGCTTCCAGTGTTATGATAAAAGTATCTTGCAACTTGTGACTCATGTAGCTCTCTTGGAATATTATTCACATATTTATTTATCATTTGTGTTTTCACATATAGCACCTGTACATTTAACTCTAAACAATGATAGCGTGACAAAATTTAAGAAGCGTAAAATGAGAAACTTTAGTTCTTTAGATGCGATCTCTATTGTATTCACCTGCTTTTCATAAGTAGATTACAAACCATTCAATCATCCAGTCTTATTTTGTTGAGCATTTTTCATACACAGCACATCTAAAGCATTTAGATCAGATGAAATAAGAAAAAAGTAACAGAAAGCAACGACACATAAAAGGTGGTGCATTAAACTACCAATTTTGGATTTAGTTTGAAAATTTGCACACAATTGTTGTGAGAAAGCAGATACTGTGAAAAAAATATTTAAACTCAGCTTGAAGTCCCACTAAAGAAAAAACCCCGAATACAGTGAACCAAAGCTGAGGCTTAAATCTAAAAAATAATCACCGTTTTAAAAGACTCAACTTAAATTAGCTGCTTTTAGAAGCTACCAAGGAGACACTTTGTCATTATTTGTGCTGCCTGGCTGAGCGAACGCAGCCATTCAGGCTCTCAGTGATGTTGAAGGAGAAGCTAAGAGCCGCTTGTCTCCACCAGGACCTGCTGCATTTAGAGGAACGACTTGGGACTGTGAATCGAGGAGCCTCTCAGGGAACCATAGAGAGGTGCACCTACCCACACAAGTACAAGAAGGTAAAACCTTTCTCTCCGCGTTTCATTCTGTCTCACAATTTCTCAACACACGTGTGCATGTCTGCTGCAGTGCGTTCTGGGACAGAGTGCGCAGTGGTCTTTTGTGCTCTGATGTTTTCGAAAACACTGTAGTGTCTTTTACCAGAGATTGCAGCCGTGAAGATAATGTTTGGGGCGGGGTGGGGGGGAAAGATTCCTTAGAGGTTTTCAAATGTACCTAAACAAGCAATCTAACACCCTGCCACCCAATACAGAAGGTGTTGGAGAGAGACATTGACCAACAGTTAACCCCTGAAGCTTGGGCATCTATTGGGAAAAATATGCACGCAACCCCAGAATCGGTGAGAATCAAAACGAACAAATCAATTTGGAAACATGTCTCTGCTCACATGTACGTTAGATTTTATTGTTATCCTTGGGGGCCGGGAAATTCGGCTGATATCTTTTTTTTCATTTATTAATTTATTATTATTATTATTATTATTATTTGGATTACTTTGATTTGTTTAGCATTGAGACTAGAGATATAAAGTGTTCTTTTCTGTTTCAGGACCAAATGACCATTCTCTCTGTTCCCAAATTTTAAGTTTGTTTTGTTGGAAAAAAAAAAAAAGAATGATAAAGTTACTGTTACGGGGCTTAAGCCATTTGTTTTTAACGTCATGCTAGGAGTTTAGTTGAGCAGTTTGAGTGATTTTATTGAGAGAATTTGCTTTTAAAATCCCTGTCTCCAAATGTTTCTGCCTGACAGAGAAAGCTGCACGGCAAACAAGACGAAGATGAGGGGGCCGATGAAGACACGGAGGAGAAGTGCACCATCTGCCTGTCGATACTGGAGGAGGGGGAGGACGTCAGGTAAAGCTCTCCGCTCTCCCGGGAGTTCGTCCTGCCTTTTTCTCACAGCTTTAAATGTGTTCAATTATCCGTTCAGAGGGGCGTGTCCGTGAGCCAGGTGCAGTCGTTCCGGTTTCCTGCCATCCACCGGGATTTTCATTTTTCTCTAAAAACAACCCAAAGGAGTTCTGGTAATCAGCAGAAAAGTCCCAGAGTGCCTTAAAATTACTGGCCTCATGGAGCTGCTTTTTGGCACAGGCTCAGGTTTTCCAGGAGGAGACGCTGCCCCCTGATGGCAGAAAGGCTGATGCGTCTAAATTTGAAGTCGTGTCTGGTTTTGCCTTTAGCGGTGCAGTTTATTCCCGATTCCTGCTGCTCAGACCAAATCTTAATGACAATTACTCCAGGGTGCTTGAAGTTCTTGAAAATATTTTAATTTCAATTTGTTTGTTTTTTTCAAGGCTTGGAAAATCCTTTATCTGTATAAAGTCTGTGGAAATGCTTGCTACTAAAACTGCACAGTCTTGAAGTGAAGTACAATCTAAATTTGGAAAACGATATTTACAGTTGGATCCAGATATTTTCATACACTTAATAGAAAGACATTTATTTTCTGTCTGTCTGAAGTTAAATCAGACTAAACTTTTTTTGTTTTAGGTCACTTAGAATCACAAATGAGAATGTTGGGTTTTTTTAAATTTCATTTGTGAATATTTATTATTCCATAATGTCTCAGTGATTTGTTAATTTGAGTAATTAAAATAAAATTTGGCTTTTATTTTAAAAAATTGGCAGACTTTTTCAATTTAATTTAGTGTTTTGTTCACGGACCAGTCCAGTGTGTGGGAGTGACATTTCAAAACATCCGATTTTTGCTGGAGAATGTAGAGTACTATCACAAAATATAAATCATTAATAACATTAGATCCTATAATGGTGAACTTAAACTGTCTTCTTCTATTTATTTGTATTGTTTTTATTTCCACAGTTTGGTGCTGAAAGTTTGAAAACTTAAATTGAAAAGTGTGTGAACCCTCTAATAAGCCGGTGCTGTGAATCAAATACTGAGAATTTGATTTCGCAAAATTGACCGAGTCATTTGATCTGATGCATTCATCTCCTTTCTCGCCGTAACAGACAAAGTTTGCTTTTCTGCAGTGACTGTTCTAGGACATGTGGTCAGATCTCGAAGCTCTAAAAGTGACGTCCGTGCGTTTTTCCCCCCCCCCCGCAGGCGCCTGCCGTGCATGCACCTCTTCCACCAGCTGTGTGTGGATCAGTGGCTCCTCACCAATAAGAAGTGCCCCATCTGCAGAGTGGACATTGAGGCGCAGCTGTCTGCCGAGAGTTGATGCTGTTTTCCCAACAACACTTTTGTTTGTTCGGAGTTTATTTTCAGATCATATTAACTTTCTCTTCAGTACTGCAGTCAACCAAAGATGGCACGAATTACCTGCGCAGCTCTACTACGAGGAAAAATGAAAAAAAAAAAAAAAACACACAAAAAAAACCCCCGAAAACAAAAAAGCATCGAGCCTAGAGTGCCAGCTCTCACACAGTAGAACAACAACTAGATTTCTCCATTATGGATTTAAGATTTTATTGTATTTATGAAGCTTTTATGTAGCTTTTGATTGTTTCCTCAAGTGTCATTTCTGTTTTGTTTCTCTGCATGTTTCCTTGCAATGCATTTCTTTGCACATATAACGTGGGCTCACCACGGCCCGCCGAGTTGCAGGTGAGGGGAGCTGCTCTAGTAAAGATGCATTTCTGTAAACCTAATGCCTTGCTTTACTAGAATAGAATGTCAACCTTCAGTTTAAACAACAACAAAAAAAAGAAAAAAAGAAGAAGAAAAACAACAAAAACATTGCAGGATTCATTTTACCAGTCATTGTATTGATTAGTTTATGTTTAGCAGATGTGGATTGTTAGTGAAAGATGTTTTTTTTTGGTTTTTGTTATTTTGTTATTTTTTTTCTTCCAAGTAAATCAAGACATTCCTAACTAAGGAAATATGTTAAATCAGCTGCTGTATTAGTGCACACCCAGTATTTCTAGAGTGGAAATCAGCTCCATGGTTCACCTCACTCCCAGGATATGCACATGCTTTGCTACGACTACACCTCCACCCTCCCGCACCTTCATCGGGCGACAGCACCCCCGTCACCATCCCCGCGTATTTTAGGGAGCCAGAAAAAGAATGTCACACCCCCCTCTCTTGACTGTTGTTTCCAAACTGAGCGATTGTCGGGAACTGCTGTGAATCTTTTCTCATTTTTTATTCCGTCGGGGTTCTTCCCACAGACAGACGTGCGAAGCCTAACTAAGGGTTTTTTTGGTGAGATGATCTCAGGCCTGTGAGTGTTGAAGAGATTTGAAAACTGGTGATCATGCTGTTAAAATTGATACTGGCAGTGGCGTTGACTTTTTAATCTTCTGCGTGAGCATGCGAGTGTGTGTGTGTGTGTGTGTGCGCGCGTGTGTGTGTGTTCAGAGGGGAAAAACACAGCTCAAGTTGAGATTTACTGTTTGTTCTCACACTTCTAACTGATTTCGCCACCATCCCTCTCTGTCTCTCTCTCTGTAGTTGAGCAGCAGCGTCCATCTTGGATGCTGCGGAAAGAAAAAAAACAAAACACTAATACTGTTGACTAACTCACTCGCATAGACTTGCACAAGAGAGAAAACGGTAGATTAGTAGTGAATATGACAGTGTGCTGAGGCCATGTGTTTCCACTCTGATGATCATGAGGGAAAAAAAAAAGGAAAAAATATTTTGAGCTGAGTGTTGAAATGCAGTACTTAAAGCAGGTATCCATGCATTCATTGACTTAAAGGCACCAGGATCATATTATGTGGGATTTATATTAGTTTTGAAAAATAATATTAATAAACTTGGATAACTCTTGTTGAGTCCTTTGATTGATGTTTGATTGAATGAATGTTTGGATGGAGGCGTTTTTGAATTAAGTGGTGAATTTGAGGGGCAGAAATCGATCTTTGTTTCTCTTCTCTCTCTCCAGATCATGAGTGTAATGTTTTCCATTTTCATGCATCTTAATATTTATTAAAATACATATATCTTAATATGTGTTATCTTTTTTAAAAAAAAACAAACACTGTAGCTAAAACAGTAGTGCACACCATAGGCGTAACTCCCTGAAGGACTGGTGGGGACATGTCAATTAACTATCAAATAAAGGCCACTAGAGCCAATAAAACCTTTTAAATATATAGTGGATATTCAGATCAGTTATCAAATAGGATGAAATATTTCATAAAGTATATAGAAGTCAAAGTTTGTTCCATTTTAAACCATGGCTCCCACAGCGACGATTCAGTAAAATTAAATAAAAGAGGAATTCGCCTCTTGCGTCTTTACAGAACTGACAAGAGACCAAACCGTTTATGGATTTTTACATCCAAACATCAGCGTCTCGGCTTTAAGCCACATTTTATTGCATCCAGTGATAACTATGGTCTCTCTACTCACTAACTGCTCCAACCAGAGCCCCCCCCCAAAAAATTTGTGTCTTTAATATTTGCTCCATTAGAGACACATATCTCATCTGCTATGTGTGAGTCAGCGGGACAAAAGGTTTTGCCAACCAACTGAGGGAAAGCTGTGGAGTCAGTATTCAATGAAAGTCTTCATTAAAGTGTGTATTGTCACAACTGGTGACAATACACACTTTTAAAAATTACAAGGACTTTTGGCTCCTGGAAAACAAAATACAAAGTCATTAGGGTTACTGAGAGCTTTCTGTGTACTGCATACACAGAAATAAAAATGAGAATTGTGTCCTTTTAATAATTTTTTTTTTCCAGGCAAAGTGAGGATGATGCTTGTTGCAAATCGGAGTAAAACAAAATTTTAATAAAAAAAATAACTTTCTGTGTCTTTACCTCCTTGTGAAGGTTGTCAATGATCAACTAGTAAATTATTTCAGCAGAAATAAATAATTACCAGTTTGACTACTGAAGTGCATTCTTTTTAACGCCCAGCAGGGGGCGTTAAATATCTTGAAAACCCGTCTACAGCCTCACTTATTCAAACTCCTGGCTTTCCTTGATAAGTATATTAATGTTAATCTGCAGGTGTTCTGTAAAAAATATGTTCAGCATTTTGTCATGCAATGTTACAAAGTTTAATTAAAATACTCATCTATCAGTGTGTATTGCACAAAGGATCTGTTCACCATATTTATGACCAAACTATGTTTATTGATGCAGTTTTTATGAAAAAAGTCCCAGCAGGTTTTCACTGAGTACAGCATAATGTGGTCGTATGACTGACACAAAACTAAGGAACGTGTGTCAGGACTGCGGCAGCAGCGCAAAAGATGTGCAGAAACACGAACCAGAAGCAGCTACAAAAAAAAACAGCCTAACAAAAACATAAATCCATACACCAAGTAGCAGAACTGGAAATAAAAACAGCTCTGTGTTTCTCAAAAACAAAGAAGGAGAAACTAAAAGTACATTCCTTGCGTAAAAACACACAGAAATCCTTTTAAATTCTGCCCGGCAACAGGCACGCTCCTGCTTAAGAACACATATACAGAAATGAGATCCAGAAAATGCCTGTTTGTCTTAATTTCATGTAAACAAATGATTTTCTTCAGTAACTAGGCAACTTCATTGCTTTTGCTCGTCACAATCTGCAGACGAAGCTCTGTGGCCGTGACGTGAGACGCCGTCTGTGTCCAAGGTAGTACCTGTCCCAATAAAGTGCTAATACACCACAGACGTCCCGCTCAGGCTACATACTGGTGTCAATAGAGAATAAAAGCAGGATAAAAAGTGAGGGAGGTTTACCAGCTAATACTCTGCCTCACTGCAATGCCCTCAGAATCAGAAGAAAAAAAAAGAGTCTGCTTTGGTCATTCAACTTTTAAAAATCCTCATTCAGCATTTTGATTCTTTACACGCCTGTTAAAATGTCTGCGTCACAATAAATATTCCTGCTAAAACTGAAATCACTTCAGTTTCCTTCAACCTTCATCTAGAAGCAACGTAGTGGAAATAAAAGTCAAAAACAAAATCACAGCCTGGTCCCAGAGATTTAGCCGATTTCATTCGAATGCTTCGAAACGCTGGAGCGCACGTCCTCTATAAGATATAACACGGTAAGTAAAGGGAATACAGAGATCCATAAATACAATAAATAGTTTGTTCAGTACTCAGAGGGGACAGACCCCAGCGGTCTTTGTGTCTTTGGAGAAAAGCCTCATCTTTGGCCCGACAGGACCGATGTTTGGTCTGGTGGCGTAACTGAGCGTTACGTTGGGTGACTGTAAGGCAGCAGTGGAAGAAGAGTCTCACAGTGTTTCCTCTCCCCGACTGCAGGCTCTGCAGCGCCCTCGGAGGCCGGGGCGTGGCAGGCGCGTCGCGTCGCCCTCACAATTAGCAGCTCCTAGATCTTTGTCACATAGTTGTTGGGGAAAAGTCCCTGCTTCCCGCGAAGTCGTCCCGTCCACCATCCGGAAGCGTCTGCTCAAAACAGAGCCAGGCACGAATGAATGAAATGAAACGAAGCCGCCAGTTTTTATCCGTCGCTCTTAAAGGCGCTCACCCTCTTTGATGATATCGATGACGTCGTCGGTGTTGAAGCTGAGCTCGTCCGTGTCCTGAGCGTCGTACGCGTACAGGGCCTTGCACTGGGGCACCTGGGGTTTGGGTTTGGGCGCCGGCTTCGGCCGTCCTCCACCCGGTGGAGGTCTGTGGGCTGAAGGTCGGTGGGCCCTGATTCAAAACAGAACAGAAAACCGGCTCTTGAGTCAGTCTTGAGGACACAGTGAAATATTTAAAGCCCATGCGCTGCAGCGACTCAGGACAGCACAGGTTGGTTGGATGAGTCAGAAAAAAAACAGCAGCATGCAAACATCTGGGCACCCCTGTTCTTGATGCAGAGAAACATCTCAGAACGACATCCAGGAGGAAAATATCAGACATTTGTGTACCGTTTCAGGAGAGTTCACCTCTTATTCCTAAGCCTTATTGTTTCACAGTAACGGAAATGGGAACAGGAATAAAGCAAAACCTTTTTTTTTTTAAATTTAGTCTCTGTTCCTTATTGAAGCTGTAGGACTGTGCAAAACATGACAAAACATTCATATCTATATTGGGAGGTATTTTAGGATTAGTGTTAAGATATTTTCAGAGAAATTATAAAATTCTGTACAATTATTTCTCCAAGTTTTGTTTCCTGTGGCTCCGTTTTGAATAGGATGAAAAGATTTATTCAGATTTTTGTCTGCAGTTTATATCTGTGCAGACATTAAAACTGCAGCAAACCTTTTTTCCTTTTCTAGTTTCTGATAAAAACAACTTAAATGCGTATTTTGTTTTACATCATGAATGAAAACAACTTTCTTTATATGCAGAAAAGTAAAATGCTTTGGCGTGAGCTAAAGGTTGCTAATTCTAAAAAAATTAAAATAAAGAAAATATGACAATTTGCAAAACATTTTTAAAGCTGCAAAGTTTTCATTAGTTGGGCTTTTATGATGGCGACTGTGACAACAAGCACTGGAAAAAGTAAATAATAAAGTTTAGTGCCCTAACACGGGTTGTATTTTGGGGTAATAAAAATAAAAATATGCCTCAACTGTGTTTAAAAAAATCAGATTTGATCAACTTTTGACTAGTTGACCATATTCTCAGCAACATAAATAAACCAGGGGTGCCCAGAGCTTTGAATCTGTCTTCAATTCAAAACTGAATGTATAAGGTAAAATGAAAGCAGATCGCCTTAAAATTCTACGGTTTTAACATTTTTAGCCAAATACTCAGGGGTTTTGTGATGTGCCACATTGTGCCACAAGATGGCGTCCTTGCACAGGACGTCACTTTCCCTGCTGCACAGTGAGAACTAAACTAAACCAGTTTCACTGCAGAAAAGAAAAGAAAACACACATCCTGAGACATTAACTTTTCTCTCAACACCAACCCAAACCTGATACAGACGACATTAAAATGAACCAGAGACAAATGACCCAGAAAACATCTCAGTGAAACACTACCAGGCGATCGTACTGCAGTGTGCATGTGTGAGAATCCTGCTGGACATCAGCAGCGGACGTCTAACTAAAAGTGAGGCAGCGCCAGCGTGCTGCGCTGCTGAAAGCTTTTCCACCACCAGAACCACTGCAAACACTCCAACTCACATTCCTCCGTTTGAAGTTGGCCGTCCGCCTCCAGAGCTACAAAAGAACGAATCAGCCAAGTGATGTCAGATTAGAGAAACAGAGCAGAGGCATCATCACAGTGTCAGGGCATGGCGCTCCTCTCAGAGCGATGCCGTCTAATTCTGGCGTTCCCCAAAACCTTTAAGCTGCATTCAAGAAACAAACTCACAACCAGGAACTGCTGGTCAAACATTAAACAAGGCCAATACAAACAGCATCAACAACACATATGTATTTCGTTTAGTTTTTTTTTAAAATGAACATGTAAGGAAAGAAGATATTTTTCTAATTTTAACATTGTTTGTTTTAATTTCCTGAGAGGAAACATGGACTCCACTGCGTAGAGTTTCCTTTTGTGTTGTATTTATATTCTTTGTTTTGTATTTAATTTGTATTTTTTTGTATTCTTTTGTGTATGCTTACTGTGTGCCACATTTTTGCCTGTGAGCTGCTGGTAACTATAATTTCCTGAGGGAGTCTTCCCAAGGGATCAATAAAGTCAAGTCTAAGTCTAAGTCTAAGTCTTTTGACCTCTGATTTATGAATTACTGATCTAACCTGCTGCATGTTAAAACAATAATTAATAAAAAAAAAAATGTAACGACAAGTCTTGTAATGCAAAACCTTAACTCAATCAAAAACAATGAAAAGACCTTAAAAACCATTACTGGCAAAAAGTATCAGTACACTGGAGACAAAATAACAAATATGTTAAACTGTCGTACTATAGAATCGACCTCTAACCTATTTATAAATCTATAAAAAAGGATAGAAAATCAAGGAGGATAAAACCACCACACCACTGCTTGTCCAGCCAGCGGAGAGCATTAAAATCTGCTGAACGGGTAAATTTCAAGACTGCACAAATAAAAAAACCATGTGTTCAAATATTCATTTTTAAAGGGAAGAGATGGGAGATCATGAATTTTAACTACTATTTTGCCAGAAGATGAAACTAAATAATTACATCACACATTTTAAAAGAAAGTTAAAACACAGAATGATTGAAAGTTAAAGACTCAAATATTTGAAATGTGATGCAAAACTTTCATGATGGTGATTTACTGACTTTTTGTTTTTTCCTTCATTTGTCTGGATTTAATTGTTGGTTTTCTGCTAATATTTGTAACTTAGAAGCTGAATAGATTCAACCTTGACCTTTTGGATCTATAAATGAATGAATGAATTATTTTTATTCATTCATTTTGAACTTCTTTCATTGCAGTTGGAGTTTTAAATGACCATCAGTTGTCGTCATTATGTGTATGTCTGTGTTTTAGATCGAGTGAATCGAATCATGAGCTTCATTTGTCATCTATTAACTAACAATCAGTGGATGTTGCACATTTCCATCACGTCTCATTTCTTTTGCGAAGCGCATCCCGCTCTGGCGCTGCAGCTTTGTGCTGAGCTCTCACCCTGCGGCGCCCTGGTCCGGGACCCTCAGGCAGTCCAGGTCCGGCTGCTGCCGGCTGCCGCCGTCGCGCTGCCTGGGCTGGTTGATGTTGCTGGGCAGAAATGGGCGGGTGGAGTCGATGGAGGGGGGATGCCTCTGGCTGTGATGCTGCGAGTTCCTCTGATTGGCGATGTGGTTGGTGTTCTTCAGGCCGCCGTTCTGATGGCCGGCTGCAGGGAGGAAACGCAGGAAATGGTCTAATAGATGATGTGAAGAAGAGAGACGCTGCGGAGAAGCTGACCGGTATACCTGGGGGTCCCGGTGCTGCTCTTGAAGGCACGTGGTGGTTTCTGGACGTGTTGGAGCGACTCTGACTGAAGCCCTTCCTGGTCGGACCTGGCATTCATTCGCAAAACACAAAAGCAACAGATTGACGCTACCATAACCTGCAAAGGTTTCATCCTTTCAATTCGATTCCCACGTCACAGGCGGTTCTTTGAGCGAGCATGTCGTGGTTCTGCTTCACGGCCGATACTCACGTGTGTTCTTGGGAAGGCCCGGTCCGATGCTGACCTGCAGGGATTTGCTCGAAGGCTTCAAGATGGCCACATCTCCCTGACCCTGAACAAACAGCACCTGCCTGGAGCCGCCGCCGCCGCTCATGAAGCCCCAGTTCTCCTTCTTTAGCTTCATCTCCAGTCTGGAAATTAAACGCAGTGTGTTTCTTTATATCCCTTTCATTAGTTTCTTTCTCACAGTAGTGGTGATATTATTATTTATTTATTTTTTTTAATGTGACAAACATGTTTTGTATGGACCCGGCCTAACCTGCTCATAAAGCGTAAAAGTTCACCTCTAAAAGCAGCAGAGATAAATCTGAAGGTTTAGCCGTTTCCGTTTCAGGATGCCTGGACTTACGTGTTGTTGAACTTGAGCGGCAGCTTCCTCTGAGTTTTCTCCTCGAACCGCCGGGACAGCAAGCTGATGAACTCCGTCTTAAAAACGCACTCCAGCAGGCTGTCGTACTCTTGCTCATGCAGGATGATGAAGTCATCCTGCAGGGTGCTGGAACAAAGACGAGCTTTGAGCAAAGTTATCGAGTCAAAACCCATCTTGGAAAAAGTATCATCAGTCCCTCTATTGTCTTGTTTTGTGTGGAGTCGGTTTTCACTTTTACACTCAGGACCTCACAAGGCGGCTCAGATCAGGAGGGACGGCAGGAGAGGCCCAGCAGCACAAGGAGAGTCTGTTCCTCATTTTTACACCTGGCTGAACCACCTGCTTGCTCTGTGTTTCCCCACAGAGTCAAAAGCCACAAACTCAAATCAGCTGCTCCGCCTCTGAGCCGCGTCTCGCAGCGTTTCTTTGGGCGACGCAGAGACCACGACTCTTCCAGTTTGCTTACAGATTTTATAAAATCCAGGTAATTTAAGCATTTCTGACTGTGAAGCATTTCAGTTTTGTTTTCAGTCAAATCTTCTCCGTATGTTTTCAGTGACCTTTACAGGAACAAATAAGATCCCAGACTTTTGCACTGAAGAGTCTACAGACTTTAAGTCGTCCCTCAGTCAGCGTCTCATTTTAGAAGAGTTCTGGTTTCTTAAATTCATTCCTATTTAGTTCATTTTTAAAGCACAAATTCATCAAGACGCTCAAGAACTAGCCAACATGTTGGCTATTGATGCTACTGATGTAAGATGTTTTATGCAGGACCATCATCTTAAACTTTTTGGTAAAAGACTGAAAATCCAGGATTGTTTTAAAAGAAACCAGATTAACAAAAAACCTCAAACCTTTCACCTCCAGTTTCATATTGTGAGGTGGATCAATGTATTTTACTGGGATTTTCTCAAGTGTTCAGGGTGACCCCGCCTCCCAGCCCCACTAGGGACAAGAGTGTTAGAAAATGGATAAAAGTGTTTTCTACCTGAGAGACAACGCCAGGATTTTCTCCACGTCGATCTTCCTCTTCAACACCTCAGTCACCTGACCTTTCTCCGGTCCCTGCTTCACCTTCTCTCTTCCAATCAGATACACACTTTTTGGGGTCAAGATCAAGTCTCTCTTAATTCCCTACAAACAAAAAACAAAACAAAAACAGTTGGGGGATTGTTTTAGTTGCCAGAAAGAATCCAGAGAGAGAAAAAACAAACCTTGAACCGCCGGTCGTATTTTGTGACTTTGTCAGCGAAGTCGATCTTTTCTCTTTTGGCCAGAAACTGCCGCAGCTCCGGCCTGTCGTCCATCCCCAGGTAGTCTCCGATGAAGTTTCTGTTCAGGCTATGCCGCCGCCTGTCTTTCCGGTTCAACAGCAAATCAGAAGCTGGGAAAAAAAAAAAAAAAAAAAAAAAGTCAGAAAGCCGTGCAGGAGCTGAAGACTTGTGACGCAGAAACGGGTTTCTGCTCACCTTCCTCCCTCATCTGGACGTATTTCTTGCGGGCCATGTATTTCCTCCACGCCTTCTGGATGGTGCGGGCGTAGCCGTCAAACTTGCGGTCTCTTGTCTCTTCCAGGAGGAAGAGCTATGAGGAAAAACAAAGAGGGAGAATAACACACCAGACATGCCTAATGCACAGACTGGAGCTCAGGTGCAGCTGAAAACCAGCCTGACTTCAGTGATAAACGGTGATTTGATTGTTTCTGAATGAGAATAAAAACTTAACTACTGGATAGAAAGGCTGCTATCATCTTGGATTATCATTTTCATGTTATTTGCGTAATTTAAATCAGTAAAATCTGAGCAGCTTTTTTCAGAAAAAACAACAACCCACGATCGACATTATTTGAGTTTTAACTCTTTTTTCTCTAAATATTAAATTTGCTAAACTTCTTTAGTTCCACTAAACGAAATGTCCAGATAAAAATGTCAGTAATTAAACTGAGAAAGTGAAAATCGTGTTGTGTAGATTAGTTTCTCACAGAGATACATTTCAAAAGTTTATTGCTAATAATTTTGATGATAATGTCTTATATCTAATTTTCTGGAGAAACTTGAATATTACATGAAGCCAAATTTAAGAAAATATTTTCTAAAACAAACATCAGCCACCTAATAATTCTTATTTTTTATTACATTTAAAAAAATAAATTAATTAAACTTTCAGAGAAACAAAATTTTGGGTTTTAATTAAGTGGATTTATATTCATCAAACTGAGGTGGTTAAATCTGTGTAATTTAAAGTTTTGCTTTTTGAGCTGAGTTTCTGGAAAAAATTAAGATCAAAACGTTTAATCTGGTTTCATTTCTAGTATTAAGATTGTTATAACAGGTCATTGAGTTTGGGAAACGACTGAATCTTGTCTACATATTAAAGACGAAGGATTCTTCAGCGTGTCCACGAACGGCTGCAGCACGCAATTTACAGCAAGACAAAGTGCGACTGTGTGCACAACCAGCGTTCATTTCGCTCCCCTCCGTTTTCAGATCCATTTACTAAGAGAGATTAATACGCTTATCAGTTTGCTCTGAGCCTGCCGGACTTCTTGCCCCGTTTATGTCATTTCCTGCTGCACCTCTCAACGCGCAATGACTCTCTCTGCCCTCTCCGTGCGCCAGACTAAACATCCCGTCCGGCATTGCAACGGCCCTGGCATCAGCACGGCCCGACCGCAGGCCGCAGCGAGGCCGGAGCACAATACTGCACGTCGAACGAAAACCACAGAGAAACAACAGTCAGCAGAAAAACGCCCTGAGTCACAGCCTGCGAGCGTGACGCTGTGTGATGACTGGAGCTTCAGCGGCTGAATGGGTCCGTCCAGGTACAAACAGTCGAGCAAGGCGTCAATATTGAAAACAGGTTTGGCAGAGAAACTCCTACAACACCTGGTGTCTCACAGTTTTCTCTTTCATGACATCTTCGCTCATACGGTTAATTAACAAGGGTCAGCGCCTTATCTCACAGCGGCTTGTTTTCACAAGCCTGTCAGCTCAATTCAGCCATCTGGCCTGCGTGATATTTACCTTTCATTAGCCGGAGGTTGGGGGGGCCGCAGTACATGAGTAAAAGGCACTCAGGGTTAACGACAAGGCCTGGACAGAACTAAGATGTCTGTCTGAGCGAGTTTCTAAAAATACATCCGTGGGTGTGTGAACGCTCGCTGCTGCTTGATGTGTGTAGCTGCTAATAAGCAGGCTGTACACGCGCGCACACACACACACACACACACACACACACACACACACACACACACACACACACACACACACACACACACACACACATTGCCTTCAAAGTAGTTACAGCAAGAAAGAACAAGCCTCAACCAAACTCCGAAAACAGACAGCCTGAGTTTGTGTTTTTAGTTTCGGAGTCGTGTTGACTCACCGCTGACGTGTAACCAGAGGTCAGGTTCAATCTCCTCCCCTGTGACAAGGACTCGAGCGCAATTTGGGACTCTGTTGCCTTTTACGGTGTTTAGAGTAAAAATATTGGGTTTCGTTTTTTTCCCTGGCTGACAAGAACGCCGACACACTTGCAAGAACAGAGAATCTTATCGGTTTAGCTCCTGTGTAAATAGACAAAATTAGCTTACATATACTTTTAGTGAGATATAGGAGCTTGCTTTAAGTGAATAATTAAGTCATAAGTGAAATAATCTGCCGGTGGAATCAGCATCTTTTCATAAATATTAAAAAATAATTTACTTAAAAACGAGCTCCCATGTCTGCTAGTTTTATCTTATTTTGAGTATACTGAGATATTTTCACTAGAAACTAGACCAAAACTACTTTGTGTCTTTTCACATCATAACCTCAACCTTCAGCGTATTTTTATTCGGTTGACCAAAACAAAATTCTGAAAATGAAGCATTGCTTAAGATTTTCTACAATTCATTGTCCCCCTCTCCTCTGAAACTCCCCAAAAAGTCCAGTAGAACCAGTTGCTTTGAGAAATCACAAATTTAGTAAGTAAAGTAAACCCATGTGCAATTTAATGTTGTTATAAATTCGGCTATTGTGTGAAGAACTCAGTGTCTTGCTGGAGAACATCAGTGAATAAACAGCATGGAGAAAACCAAAAAAAGGAGATGGGTCGGGGATAAAGTCCTAGAGAAGTTTAAAGCAGAGCTTTGTTGTAGAAAAGTATCAAGAATTGCAATAGCAGCATCATTTTATGGGAATTTCTTCTAAATCCAATTAAGACTCTATGACCTGACTGAATAATTAATGCTGAGAATGAATACAGTCTGATTGATCTTGAGCTAATTGGTAAGGCTGGTAGAGACTCAAAACACTCACTGATATAAATCAGGGATGAAAAAATTAATTTTCATTTTGGGCCGTATCAAAAGTATGATTCTTCTTAAAGGGCCGCTTGCGCCAGAATATATTAATAAAACTAACTAAATTGTTAAAGTATCAATAAATAGCTGTTCCTCCAGGATTTTGTGATGGTTTTAGTGGTTTGTTTGTGAGAAACTTTTCCAATACTTGCACTAATGTATGATTTTAATTGTTACTTTTTATTACTGACTATAACATGGCATCAGGTTAAAGTGAGACTGAGGCAGCAGTCAATTAAGATCAATGTTTTTGACCAATTTTGTGAAACATTTGCAGTAAAATCAGAAAGAAATGTGGAGACTTATTGGTTTTCTGTGAAATTTGCAGATTCATGTGGAGACTAGCGGGCCAAATAAAAAGCTGCGGTGGACCACATTTGGCCCTGGGGCCTTGAGTTTGACACCGATGATGTATATCCTAAAGAAAGAAAAGCAAGGCATTGGGTGTGAGCTAAAATCCAATGCACACCTCATTTTTTATTTATTGTTTTTACATTCCTTTAAAAATAATAATTAAAGCGATTCATTTATTTATTTTCTTTCTGATTCAGAGATGTAAACTAAGAATAAAGTTTCCTCTTGTGACAAAATGTAAACATGCTCAAGATGTAAAACTCACAGACTCCGGGGCTTTGATGAAGATCTTGGTTTGTCCGAGCTGGAACTGATCCTGATCCATGTTGACGGAGCGCAGGAGGTGAAGGACGCCTTGTTTCTCGTCTCCTCGCCACGTCGGCCACGACTCTTTGGTCAGGATGGCGTACCTGAAGATCACAGCGAACCGCCGCAGCCATCAGCACCAGACACGGTGACTCAATCAAGCCAGAAGCCAAATGCAAAAGCGACAATTAAAGATGTTAATTAAAGTCTGATGAGTTCTCGGTGCGGTTACCTGTTGAGGAACTTCCGGAAGACTCTGCGGTAGGCGTAGCCAGCGCGCCTCACCCTGATGTTTTCCTTCAGACCCAGATACTCCACCTGATGCTTCACCCTGCAATCATCATCATCATCATCAGTGAACTCGTGTGCTTCCTTTTGTCACATCCTCAATCATCCTCCCTTCATCAGCCACTACATTGTTTCAAACATCTTTCCGAAGCTCGTGAAACTCCCCAAAAGCGCTGATTGCGGGTCATTGTATGCAAAATAGCAGGTCTCACGGTTTTTTTCTCTAAAACAAAGAGCTCAAGCGCCGTTTGGTTCTGTACAGTCAAGCTTCCTGTGAAAACGGCGATTCCGGTGCTAATTAATGAGCCACATTGCGCCGCGCTCCCAACAGGAAGGTCATCATGCTGAACAATGCAGCATCACTCAGTGGGAACAAGAAGTCCCCAACGCCTGCATGGGGGGAAGGAGCAGGAAGCTCATGAACAAAAGCACAAAGAAGGAGAGAGGAAGAAGAGAGGAAGGGGTTTCTTCAAATAAACACCAAAAAAAGAGAAAGAAGAGGGTGAGGAGGAAAAGTCTCAGTACAAAGTAGCTTGTTTGTTTTTAACTAAAATTCAGACGTGGATTCAAAGCATTAGTGCTTTAATATGACATCACATTTCCGTCCTTTATCATCATCAGTGGAGCCAACCGAGAGGACTTTGAACTGAACAATGTTGTTTTTTTTTTTGGTTGTTTTTTTACACAATGAAGCACAAGTTAGATCAAATAGACGCCGTTTAACCTGGAGAAAACAAAAGAGGCAGCTTGCATCATCCGGTGAACTTCTGGCTCATAACTAGTTACATTTACCTGAGTAATAAAAGACTCTTTTATTATGATTTTTTACTACGCTGTACTCATTACTTTCATTTGAGTTATTTTATTATGAAGAATTGATGCTCTTACTTGAGTAAAATTCATGTGAGTAACTTCACTGAATGAAGAACAAGTTTGTTTGAACCAAATATTCCCATCGACACGCCTGCTGTTTTTGTTAAAGTTTCATTTTACATCAAAATAAATGTTTAATTAAGTTATTTATTTATATTAATTTTCATTTTGGTCCATAAAAACACCAAAGTATCCACATGATTTTATTTTTTGGTCCGTCTGATGATGTAATCTTTTAATGCTAAATGATCAATTTTACTCAACAGCTTTTCACCAAATACCTTTTCACTCTTTTTTGATTCATTTCCTTCGTGGCTACTTTTTAATTTTACTTGACTACAAATATTCTAAAGTCAAGCTACTCTTACTTGAGTATCATCTCTGGTCATTAAGCAGAAAAAAAAATCACAGCATTTTCCCTCAAAGATTAAAGCTTGAAGACCAAACTTCACTTTTGTGAATGGTTCAAATGTGGCTGCACAGCTTCTCTGGGAATCCTGCCTTGCTGACATGATGAGGGTTATTCTGGATGTTTTAGAAGAATTTAAATAAACCTGCTGGGGACGGTTCTGAAGGCGGTTCTGAAGGCGGTTCTGCCACGACTCACCGTGATTCTTCCCAGTCTTTCGGCTTCTTGGTCTCATTGGGTTTGATGCAGCGAATGTAGTGTGGCGTGCATTTCATCAGTGTGCCGACCAGGTCGTTGGCTTGTTTCTAGACAGAGGGATCAGAACAAGCATTAAAAAAAAACAGATATTAAAAATTATTAGAACCTTCAACAGCAATGCAAACTATTTGCTGAGGAACTTGGACCCAGCGGCTCTTTCCCACATCAGCCCTGATTGTGAGACAGTTTGAAGCAGGTACCTTTATTTTGCTGCCTGCTGTAGTCGGCCGGCCTTTTTTCTCAGCATTGAGGTTTTCAGGGAACAGCGCCCTGATGAAGGAACTACGCAGAGACAAATGAGATAAAGTTCATTTTGAGATCTACGGAAACAAAGAACTGTAACAGCAGCCCAGTTTCGAGGCTGTCGGCATGAAAACTGTAGTTAATGATTTAAGAGCCGAGGTTATTTTCCAGACTAAGGTCACTCATCTGAATTCCTGAAACATTTGGGAAGGTTTGAGCTGGGGGAGGCTGGGAAAACATGCTGTGTGTTTATGGAAAAATATCTGCAGGGACATCTCCTTGCAGGAAAATACTGTTGCTCAGTTAGGGAAAAAAAATAAACAATTTCCAAAAGTCTCACACTGCATCTATGTAAACTAATCCAAAACTTTAATTTAAACGATTATTCAACTTTATTAGAAAAAGAAATTACGATTCCAAAAAGAGAAAAAATTTAACTTTACTTCAGGTTAGTCTGTCCTCTTGCCATCTGCTTTCCATCTCTTGTTTCCACTATATTTTTTATTACACATCGAAAATATTAAAATAAAACCAACTCATACAAAATATGCGGGGATATAATGGCAAAGGATGTTAAGGAGAAAAAAATCAGTTTAGGCCAAAGTCACAGAAAGGCTGAGAGAAAAAGAAAACATCACCTCATCTTTACATTTCTATATTTTATACTTGTTTTCCATCTCTAACATTTAAATCCATGTGAATAAATAGAAGATGTCACTGAGATGCTGCTCAAAACAAATGGATGCTCTCGTATCTGTGTGTGCACACGTGTGTGTGTCTTCATGTTTTGCCAATTGCTATTTAATTTGTTCATTTTTCACCACCCGTCTCTGGGGAAATTGGATTTAACCTCCTACTTCATGGCTCAGTGAATGTGCACACAACGAAGCCTTGCTGGGGGTTTCACAGACAATACTGCTGTTTGCACAGATGGGCCACACAACTGAAACACGGGGAGCGCAGACTCCACAACACACACCCTAAAAAGAAAGAAGCCTGTAACTGTGAGGACCCAAAAGCCACATATCGTCTGACAAAAGCCAGACGATATTCAGAGGGCAGGACGCCATGCGGCCCTGCACACTCCTGCAGCATCCTGTCAGAGTCCAGATGGATCAAAACCTCTGCAGATGTCAGTCAGATGTGGTTAATTAAAGCCAAATGGATGTGGAGAGAAGATTCCTCCACTAGCGCAGCCATAAAATCCCGTGCAAGTGTTGGTGTGTGCTTACATGTCGCTGCTCTGCATCAGCTCAATGAGGTCAGTGAACAGGACATCTCTGTTCCTCTCGCAGAACCCGTCTGCGTCGTAGGACACCTGGGGAGAGGACACAGAGGAACATCTCAGCTTTATGGAAAACATATGATAATCATGAGTTGTGTGAGAATTTCATACTGAGAAGGAGAGGAATGTTTTGAGCTCAGTCATGGGAGCCTGACATCTTTTTTTTTTTTTTTTTGCAGGGCTCATTAAGCCTGCGGCATGTGTGCCAAGCTGAGAGCCGTCACACATCTGGAGAATGACCCAAACCGGACCATATGCATTACCTCAGACTGCATGATTTTGCTTTATGTTTAAATACAATACGAAGTGCAAAGTGAAAGAAAAACAAAACAAAGAGAGAGACGAGTGAGGTCCGGTCTGGAGCTGGTTTCAAAGTGGAAACCTTAAAAAAAGCACCAGGATGATGACGCAGACTGCCAGATTGAAACACCAGCTGCATAACTGGTGTTTATGACAGATCATACAAGGAGCGGCCCTCAAGCAAAACCATGAAAAACACACTTTAATAAGCTTCTATTTCCAGAACCGAACCATCAGCTGCCAGCATCAGACGAATGGCAAAACAAAGACAGGTGTACGCCGAAGCTGGTGCCGGGTCTTCCCATACGTTTCCCTGAGCACCGACCTTGCCGGCGTAGTGATGGATGATGAAGCCTTGGTTCCAGCTGTTGAAGTGCTCATGCGTGTTGATCTGCATCCGGAGCTTCTGCAGCATGGTCTGGTCGGCTCCCTCGCCCACGGCGTGCATGGTGGCGCACACATCGTCCAGGATGCACATGATGCCCGGCGGACTCTGAGATCACAGAGAAAACCCGTTACTTCTGACCTCTTTCTGCAAAACGTCTCAATATTTGATGTGTTTTTGGTATAAATTAGTGTCTATTAAGACGTAAATCAGATTTAAAAAGCAGATCGTTTTCAATAAAACACTGCTCCGTTTCATCTGAAGCCTCCATTGTTTCTCAGCAGCCTCTCAGAGTCAAAGCGCATGTTAGCTTGTCACTGGATTAGGCGGAGAGCTGAACTGTCAGGCACAAATCCTCTGCCCCTCTCAGACGCAGCCTTGCTGTGAAGCTCTTGTTGTGGATTTGGTGGATTAAGCCTCTCAATATAAATAATCAAATTAAGAGGCATGTCTGAAGCTGGGGCTCGAGGCTAACGGGGCAAAAAAAAAAATGAAGGATGTTTTCTCAGCTCAGTAGCCGGAAACACAAAATGCATAACTTTTCTGATTTCTAATTTTATTTGGCAAATGTTTAAATTGTCAAATTGCCCAAAGCACCAGTCAATATCTGTCCATGATGTAGAGATAAAACCAGAAACGAGGGGTCAAAAAATTTTACCATTTTGTTCCATTTTTTAATAAACCTTTTCTGTTCCAACATCACCAAAATGATTTCCACTTGCTATTATTACACTACGATTGCTATGGCTGTGCACATTTATTTATAAGTTTCTGACAGGCTAATTCAGAACATTTGAGTCAAGTGGAAACTTAAATGGAAACGCACCGCTTCGTTCTGTGCAATCACGGAAAGATTCAATAAAATCCGACAGGAAGTCAGTAAACGAACCATGGATCTAATTGGTTACCACTTCCAGATGCCCGAAGGTGCAACATTCATCTGTTTATACAAACAATTACTCGCACATATAAACAACATGAGGATGTGCAGAGCGTTCATGGCGGAGCAACGTTCTGTGTCGATGTGTGAATCAAACCCCAGAACAAAAAAGGTGAAGCAGGTGAGAAAGTAGGTCATGAATCACCATGAGCTGAAAGGCCATTCAGCAAGGAAGAAGCCATCACTCAAAATACAAATGATGACAAAAAAAACCAAACAGATTACAGTTTGTAAATGCACTCAGGACCAAAGACCTTGTTCATTTACATTTGGTCTGATAAATCAAAGCCGAGATCTGAATTGGACAGGAAAACCGTGCAGAGATGAAAAGACGAGATAAAAACTTGATTTAGTGGATTTAGCCATCAGGAGAAATGGGACAAATTTACACCAAAAATGTATTCAACCAAATACCAAGAAAAAGGATGTAAACTTCTGACTGTGATAGAAAAGTAAATAATAATAATAATAACTAGAAAATGTCACTTCTTAATTAGATATTTATATTTATGACTGTTGCAAACCTACATACCACACCAATCACCAGTTCAGATCTGTTTTTGTTCAGAGAAACAAATTAAGGTTTGTTTATACAAATAATATTCATAATAAATGATGTGGATTGTGTGTAACAATATAAACATGTGCATTTTGCCCTCTTGGTGAAAATATTCTGGTGGTTGATTTACTTTGCTCTCAATGAGATCGCAGACAATCTTGTTGTTGAAGTAATTTATGGGGGTCCATTTGATGCCCTCCTGCACATATTCCTCCTACAACACATTTAAAAAAAAAGGACATTTAGACAAAAAAAAAAAAAGCAAAAGTATGCACAGCAAAGGTGAGTACGTGGAAACCTCACCTGCTCCGCCTTCAGAGTCAGCTCAATAAAAATCTGCTGCAGCTTCTCATTCACAAAGTTGATGCAGAACTGTTCAAATCCATTTTTCTGAAATAGAGGAGACATTTTTACAATTCATACATTTAGGGAGAGGTTCGTGTTTACAAGAAAAACAAACAATCCCAAGTCCAGGTTCTCTTAGCATCAAACCAACCTGTAATCCGATTGGAAAAGGAGCCGTCTCAATCATGAGATGGGCTCTAATCCGCGTGTTTTATAGATTAGTTTGATCCTTTCTTCTCAATCTGTTTAAATGCTGAAGCACTCGATCTAAATCGTGCCATATTCGTGTGTCAACACCTAATAAACACTCACCTGGAAGATTTCAAAGCCATAAATGTCCAGCACTCCTACATTTAACTCCTGATGATCCTTCACCATGGCTCTGTTGATGGACTGAAATCAGAGGAATTCATCTTAGCTACATTTACGCACATCGTGAGTGAAGCATTTCTGCACATCGTAACCTCAACAGGCGTTCACGGATACCTCAACCAGGTAGTCAAAGACGCGCGAATGCAGGGCTTTGGAGAGAGCGTCCCGGGTGTAACAGGCCTGCTCCACGTTCAGCGTCACGTCGATGGACTCCTTCGTGTTGCCCCACTTGCTGTCCATCTTTCTGCTCGTCAGCTTCTCCTTCAGCCGGTCCTGGTTGATGCCGAGCAGAAATGCAGGAAATGCTAGAACTGCAAAAGTAAAAAGAAAAAAGACAAGAAGGCATTAAAGACGATTCTCAGAACAAATTTGTTTGAGATTCTCTAATGTACTGTTCAAATGTGTAAAATAAACTAGTTCACAGATCAATTATTTCTGTAACGTTTTGGATTTTGCTGTTAAATAAGCACAATTTTCTGACAACTTTGAGGGTTTTAAGCATTCGGAGCCTTTTTAGTGTGGGGGGAGACATTTTTCTTTTGCGTTCCCTCTTAATACATTTTGTTGTTTAATGTGATATTTGCTGGTCTATTTCACATACAGTCATGAATGTGAATTTAAAATTTCAAATATATGCACATGAAAAGAGCCTCAGTGAAAATGTGTTGATATATTTTTAACACTTTTGTGCAAAAACTGATTGAAAATTGATTTATTCACCGCATGTTTATGTCTGTTTGTGATGGAACTGGACAAAAACAGTCAGACGACTTTATTCCCCCGTGAAAGTAACTCAAATAGTTCGGATGTATATATATTTTTTTCTGTCCCTCTTAAGGAAAGTCTTTATTTATATCTTAGAAGCGATGGAAAGAGATGGAAAGTCCATGTGCACATAGGTTTGTGGTGCAGTTCTATCCTAAAGAAAACGATTTAAAACTTCAGATATCTCACAAACAAGATATTAACATACATGGAAAAAAAACTTACAAAAATAGCAGAAAGTACAGCGGCCACCACAAAAAAAGACTTTTGGTGTTCAAATATGCAGCATGAACTGATCAGTAAAATCCTCAATGTCCCCTATGGGGTTTCCTATAAGCAAAATATCATTCAATATGTTGGAGAATGTGATTTAATGATGAACACGTATCAATTCCCACACGTGAACTGAGAAAGCAAAGAGGCATTTCAGTGAACGGCAGCGTACAAATCGATCTGCAGGACGGCAGTCGTTCCATAAGCTGCCTCTTCGTTTCACATGTTAGTAAAACGCTGAAGACTGGGTTCGCCAACAAGTCCTTTTTTTTTTTTTTTGGCACTTCATTTATTCCTTTCAATACAATAAAAGTTTTGGAAGTACAAGAAACTTTCCTCATAATCCCAATGTTGCTGTAGAAAGCAGTGTCTCAGACGGCTAAACCGAGGTCTCCTCTGCAGAGAACAATGGCTTTAGCCAAACACTTGAAAGAAAAACTTTGCACACCACAGACTACTCGCCACGACCTGGTGTTGATGTTGTCCCTAGAGAACCCCTCCCTGCCTTATTACAGTGACTCACTTCCCCTAGAAGGAAATAACTCTCAGGCCTGTGTCTGGGAATGCTTCGGGCCGCTGCAGTGGCTCCTGTTCGGGAGATTGTGGTCCGAGTGACCAGACTCCCGCTTCAATCAAATGAAAAGTACCGCCCATGTGTTTAGAGTTGACTGTACAGGACGACCTGAATAGTTTTTTTCACACGCCGTCCAGCGTTCAGTGACAACGCTCCGACAGGCTTCCTGCAGCAGATTTGTTAGTCAAAGCATCAGAGAGCAAAAAGAGCAACAGATGGGATGTTGTTCCACCAATCACAGTCGACGCTTCCTTTCATAAAAAACAAAAATGTTAATGATTTGGTCAGGTTTCCAAGATTTCACAGAAATAAATACGAAGGCGGTGATGTCTGTGTGACGTTTGGAAAACATGCAACACTGTTGTCCAAGTGGACGACATGTTGACTCGCAATAACAAAAAAAAAAACAACTTCAGCAGGCAGAGTTGATGTCTTCCTGCTTTCAGATTATTAAAAGCATCTGACCTGATGATGGGAAAAAAATTTAATGCATCATTCCCATTAGTAGTAAACTTTGTTGGCCGAGCATAATGACATCGTAATGCCCTCTAAAACATTTTCTGCAGCTTTGAGCAGCAGGAAATCAAGCATCCCAGAATATGTTGCTGGCTCACAGATCTTGAACTGTAAAATTCGCTAATGTTTCTTCCCAGCAGATCTTTACAATTTCAGTGTTGCCGACACTGATGGTCCACTGAACTAGGGGCCAAATCAAAACTTAAAAATGTCAATAACTCCACACATTTTTTACTTCCAACTTTTGATTTCTGGGGAGAATTAAACACAGGATCAGCCTTCTTCAAATCAAAACATACAAAAGAGAAGAAAAACAAAATCACTGCTTACATGTACTTTTATTGTGCAAGTGAGATTGTAACTTTTATAAAATGTGTTTCCGCCAAATAAACATTTCCTGTAGTCTCTGCCTGTCGTCATTGAGGTCATTGTGGCCGAGAACAAATCTCAGGATCCTTTCAGAGATTCACAACTAAATACATCTGTGCCCTTTGACCCACTTGTCTGTTTGTGTCACTTTCAATGAGTCAAAAAAGCAGAACTATTAAAGTCAGTGGAAATGTTGAGTCACTATTTTCACACCAGTCCAGAAGAAACAGCAAGACTCTTTCACCAAGTACATTTCATACTCGGAGATTTGAAATTCAATATTTAGCAGTAAAATTTAAACTACCAAGAGAAAAATTAGTAAATTACATTTACTGGTTAATTGGATTTACATCCTGATGTCAGAGTTTGATGGGTTTTTCATAGTAACTCAGATTTGGATGCATAATTTAACCCTGAAATGAAAGATGTACAGAGGAGAAACTGTGAGAGTCTGACGTTACGTGACTCTTCCTGCTCTCTGTCACAAACAAGCTGATTAAAATAAGAAGGAAGCTGATGACTCATCTGGGATTTAGAAATTAATGCACTGAAATAGCTGGTGTGTATTGGTGGGAGGTGCCTGCTGGCTGATTAATGCTGAGTGGATTTTTCCTAAAAAGGCAAATCTCAGTTCGTTGGGATTTTAGAGGAAATGCTTCAATGTGCTACTGCAAATAGCTTGCAAGCTGTTTTTTCCTTTGGGAGGAAAAGCAGCTTTTAAGCTGAACATGCAGGAATTTAGGAAACCAGTAGATCACAAATCCAAGGTGTGAAATAGTCATCATGAGCGAATAAATCGACTTTGGTACGTCACAGCAGATCTACGAAGCGTTCTGTGTAAAAGCCTGTTCCTTTCTCTGTTTCTTTCTTTTTAAACTGGCTTGATTTAGGTTCAAACAGAGACGAAGCAAGCCAGTAGTGCAAAGCTGAGACTATGGAGACCTGCTGATACCCAGGAGTGAGTTGTACGACTCATTTACTCAGGTTGTTTCTTGTTGCAACATCATAAGTCGTGTAAACAAAGAGCACTGCAAAAACAAAAACTTACAGTGATTTTCTGTCTAGTTTCTAGTGCAAATATATTTGTCAATGTCAAATTTATTTATATAGCACTTTAAAACAGGTATAAAACTGCACCAAGGTGCTGCACAAGAACGACAGTAGCACAAATAGATAAAAACAGAATATCAAAAATTGCTTCAGTTAAAAGCCAATGAATAAAAATGAGTTTTGAGAAGCGATTTAAAATGATCCAGGCTGCTAGCAGATCTAATCTGAAAAGGCAAATTGTTCCATAAATTAGGAGCAACAACAGAAAAAGCCCAATCTCCTTTCCTTAGTCGGGTCCGAGGGACTGAAAGTAAAAGCTGATTGTTTGATCTAAGGGTTCTGGAAGTATTTGCACACTTAAATAAGACAAATGTAACTTACAAGTATCTATTCAGCAAGATAAGAACTTATTTTAAGCCAAAAATTCTTTAATATTAATTTTTAAAAAAGTGTTGGTTGAACTGGCACGTCCCAGGTCGGAGTATTTTTCTAATATTTTAGGAAAACAATGGAAGAGGACTCATTGCAGTTCACCTGTAGGAAATTTAGTTTTTGTAACAAGTATTATATCAGTTATATCAATTTTTATTTATTTACAGATGAAGAGTCTCAGTTGTTATTCTGATTATTAGTATTATTTTTATATTTTCAAACATTGGCGTTTTAAACCTTCTCTAGACAGGGTGCAAAGATAAGCATGTTCACATCTTTGAGGTTCCAATTATTGATTGAATACAAACCTTTACACCGATACTATCTGTACAGAAAGTCCAAATATTTGGGTTTCTAAATGCAACCATACGGTGAGGCTGAGAAGAGCAGGAAAGAGCAGAAATTATGTAGTGCCACTATTACATCTGCACAGAACAGACTGCGGCTTTGCTCTCTGGTCCTGCCCAAGACATTATAGAGATTTGGTCATGAAAGATGGAGAAAGGAAGAAAATAATAAAATAAAGCAGCAGCAGGCGAGAAGAGAGAGTGTTTTTTCCAACATCGGTTTTGCCTTTGACAAAAGTCCAGTTGTGCAAAAATAACTTTATTTTCTGGTAGTCCACCATAAGACAGAGTTACTTCAGACTTCTGGCAGCAGGCCTGCATTAACACAGTAAAACTTTAGGGTGTGTATGTGAGAGAGAGAGAATGTGGTATGGGAGAAATATCCTCCAGAGCCAGCCAGAGACACACAGCTCAGGTCCCAACCAGCCATCACCCCTCCAACATCATCAGAACCACAGATTGGTTTCTGAGTCTGCAAACTCTCCTGCATCACTCCGTACCAAACTGAACCGTCTCAGCAGCAGCAGCAGCCGAATCAGAGCTGAAATGTAAAATAATCACTCGACTTACACTCCTCGCTTTCCACAGCAGCGTAGTTGCCTGATTCTCTGAAGGTGATGTTCCCCACATGAAGGACTCCGGCCACAATCTGAAGCACCATGGACTGGTCCTCTGCAGAGATGCCAATCACGTCCATGGCTTGCTGCAGAAACAGGCGGGAAGAGAAATATCAGAACTGCAACGGGAGCTCCGACGACTTCTGCAGTAGTTTCACATGTGGGAATGAAAGAGAAAATCGTACCATCGTTTCCTGAAATTCATTCCTATCGTTGATGTCTTCCACTTTGTAGGAACCGGACTGATTGAGGTAGGAGTAGTAATCCAGGCTTGTGATTCCCAGGCTTTTCTTTTGTTCTCCACTCGCTCCTTCAATGAGCTGTGGAGCAGAAGTTCATAATAAATGTGAATGCAAAACGTGTCAGTATTTCTTCATGCTAAATAACCTGCTGTGGACAAAAGCTTTGTGATGAGAAGAAAACAAACTGTTTTTAAAATGAAAGATTCTTCAAAATGCTGCCATAAAAATGCAGTTTTTTCCCTGCGCCGTCTGAGGTCAAAATAATAGAAAGGATAAAATGTTTAGACACTCCAAAGTCTTTAGACATAGAAATATAAACCTGTTAGAAAATAAAATGTCCATTTATTTTATCAATTCAATTCAAAACGTAAAATTCACATATCATATATATTTTAAGATATTAATTCTGTCCATCTTGGCAAATATGGCTTACAATTAATAAAAACCTTTCATTTTTAATGTTTTTTCTTTCATGTGATATTTTGGTCTTGTGTGAAAGATGAAGCTCTGGTTTATGGTAGCTGTAAGCTAATCTTCAAAAGTAGCAGAAATAGACTCTTGAACCTGATTACAGTCTAACAAATCTATGTCGTATGTTTTTCCCACATTCACCTGATAGAAAATATGGAAACTCCTTTCTCCAGGATTCCTCATGACGACACGTGACTTCTCCAGCAGGAAGTTGGAAATTTTTCCGCCATCTGGTTCGCCGCCGGAACTGAACTGAATCTCAAAGTATTTCCCCTGTTGGATCAAAGGATTTTTTTGAGTGCTGTAGCTGGATAAAATGAAGGTGAAAATACAGATGTATGGTCTTGAGTTTCAGGCACCTGGCCATTTAAATGGCTGCTAGTGCGTGTGTGTGTGTATGTATACATATATTGACCGTATATATATAAATCTGACTCGACTCGTTTTCCAGGCTCAGGACTCCAGACAAGCCTGTAATGTATCAGTTTCAGTCAAGCTGAGAGCAGAGGCCCAAAGCCGAACACAGGATCTATTTGTTCAGTGTTTTCAAATGTTGTGATCTCAGGCCATCAGTGCCAACCCACTTAGTTTTTCTTCTTCTTCAAAACCAATTTAAAATATCTTTATGGAATCTGGCCTGCGTGGGAATTTGACCAGAAAACTTCTGTGAAATGTTGTGGAAAGTAAACTTTTGCCAGTTTTTGCTGGCTTTAAATGTTAATATCAGCTGAAAAGCAGAGAGGCCTGCATGTTTCTGTGTCCTAAAAAGCATTTTCCTGTCAACCAGGGAACACGTGAGATTCATGCAAGAAAACTAGAGAATATAATCCATTAGTAAACATTTTATTCTGAAAAAATCCAATCTAGAGGTGTGCCACAAAAATCCTCCTGCTGTAATGTAGCTGTAAGGTATGTGGTTTGCTGTGAGTCATATAACAGAGGATTTATTATGATTTAGATGAAGACGTCCAAGAAAAACATGGAAAAAAGATGCCTCTGAGGATTTTAAAACCACTTTTTGAATCACAAATCTGGATTTCGAAGCGTTTTCATTGTTTAAGCCACTCCAATTCACAAACAAGCGAGCGACGAAGGCCTTACAAATCTGCTGGAGTTGTTGTTTCTCACAGTCTTGGCGTTTCCGAAGGCCTCCAGCAGCGGGTTGGACTGCAGGATGATGTCTTTGACGTGCTGCAAGGAGACAAACGCTTCGTTACGCACAGGCAACACTTCACACCCTCGCCCACAGCCTGGTGGAGGGTTTGAAAGTTTCCACTCAGACACCGGCGCAGGCGACTGCATGGACGCACACACAGCCACATGCACGTCCACAGACAGTACACACACGGACGGTCTGGAGGACATTATCCTTTCTGCAAGCCATGTGCGCGTCAGAAACACATGAGTTTCCAATCTTTACAGCAGACAGCGAGGTTCCCTCTTCTGTTATTGCTCACAGAAGCTGAATGGAATCTTTTTCCTTTTGCCTAAACTCAGTTTTTTACGAAAGAAAAAAGGGGTCAAACAGTTCAATAGTGGCAGAAAACGCTGAAGAAAGTAATCAGTTTGCTAAGATTTATGAAATAATCTTTGTATTTGGTGCTGCGCAGCAAATGTACTCATCTTTTAGCAACACTTCAGCATATTTTATTGTGATTTTATACAAGAGGCCATCACAAAGTAGTGAGTCACTGCAAAGCAATAGAAACATTTCCAGTGGTTTTCAGAGTTTCCTTTGTAAGGAATTTAAGTAAGTGTAGTGGTAACCAGGCCCCTTCACTCGAACACCAAAATCTCCTTTCAAAATACCGTTGATTAGTAAATAAAGTCAACTTGTGAGTAATTCAGATGAACAACATCATTAAGACCAAGAAACACAGCAAACATGTCAGGAAAAAAGCTGCAGAGAAGTTTAAACTGGAATTAAATGATAAATTAATATCTCAAACTTCAAATATTGAGCAGAGTCCCATTGAATCTGCCATGTGAGAATGTAAAGAATAAGGAAAGCCTACTAAGAAACACCACACTAATCAGATGAGCAGCATGGTGGTGGCAGCCTCATGCTGTGGGAAGGCTTTTCTTAACAGAGAGACTACAACTGGTTCAAAGTAAAGGGAAGAAGCTACACAGAAGGAACATTTTTAAAGAAAACCTTCGTATTTAAATCTGCAGCTCAAGGTGGTCCTACAAAGTACCGACTGAATACAAATGCATATTTCTTTCAATTTATTTACAGAAATTTTTCAAAACCATCCATTTATCCATGTACTTCCACTGTGCTGTTATGAACTCCCCTGCGTCAGTCTGTCCTCTAAAACACTGACGTTTCACGGTTATAACTTGACAACGTAAAAAACCTCAACGGTCATGAATAATTCTGCAAGTTGCAAAAGAGCGCGTCCTCTAAAACTGTCTTACTGAACAAGAAACAAAAGAAGGATAATAAAGGTTTAAAATGTCTTTAAATGAAGCATTTCGAGTGAGTAATGTTTAGTGAGCAGCATTTATTCTTCTGACAACAACGTCTCCATCATTTCTGATTCTGCCTCGGTGGAAGCAGCTCTGAGCAGATTAAATAAAAAACAATCCTGGTTTGGGAGGAGGTGCAGTTCCTGACCGAACTTTAGATCTTTATCAAGATTAGGAACTGGACATCTGCTGGACTGCAGGGTTTGGGGGGACGCCAGATGGTTGAAGGGGGGCTGGGAGGGAAGGAGGCGGCTGATGATGGAGTAGAAAACCTGATGGGGAAGAAGTGAAAAAAAACTACAGGCGTCTCTGATTTTACACAAACGGCTCCGACTATTTCGTACTGCGTGAGAAGAGCAGACGCAGGCCGAGGGCTTTTAATTATTATAAAAATGTTGTACAGATGAGATGAAAGAACTTTGCAAAGTTTTGTGCAAACAAATGTACTAAAACTTCTTAAGCAGAGATTTGATTTTAACAAACATGATGATATTCTCTGGATATGCTTCACCCAGAGCTGTTTTATGTTTTATTTAACTAGCAAAGAATGTTTTTTGTTTTTTTTTTTTTTTTGGACAGTAATGGTTTATTTTGTATTGAGGTTTCTTGTACGTAATAAAGCACCAGAAAATATTCTGATGTCCTGAGAGAGGACGATCAGATCTTCTTTACCTGGACTCTGGGTCCTCCTCCTGACACTTTGGAGATGTAGCCCATGATGTATTTGGCTGCCACAGTCTTCCCTGCTCCGCTCTCTCCACTGAAAAGCAAAAAATAAAAAAAATAAATAAAAATCTTTAAATACATGCTTCATGAGCCTCTGGGATTAATTTAAAGGCATCTAATATTTTAAGAACCACTGGAGGTGAATTGTTTCCGATATTTTAACAGTTTGCTTGAAAGTTTCTAGAGCTTCCTTGTGATTCTCACCCATCACCAACTCCTGAGTTAATCTCTGCTGAAGACAATTTCAGAACATTTTGAGTTACTGTTAAATGCTGCACCAGATGTATAAAGTTGGCTTTCAAGTCTTATGACTGTGCTTCAGATAAAATCCCTCCAAGCTGCATACACGTGTCGGCATAAGTTTCAGAGGTCTGTTGTTTTTAAATCTCTGCTGCTCTACAACCTGCTTGACATCATTTCCAACATCACCGTGTGCAGTTCAGATCTCAGAGTCATGGAAAACTCTTGTTGGTTTTAACTTTTAGGGACCTGCGGCGTAACACTAAAACAAAACACTAATACCTGGACTTGCGTCACGGTTTACCTAAAAATAAACACATTTGGTAAGAGGGCTGCAGAGATTTACATTTTTTAAAAAGTCCCTCCTGGTGTTTATTTGTTTATTTAAGAATCTACTGCAGTAGTGGCAACTGGTCTGCTCAGGATCCACCCAAAGAATTACAATAAAAATATTCTTTACAAACATTACAAGAAAAGACATAAATTAAACAAAAATTCTAATTAACCACTTCAATGTAATGCAAATGCTAGTTTAGGAGATCTTATTTCCATAAATCTATGCAGCATACTGACAGAAAATAAGGCTAATTAAATCACTAATTTATCCACTTATCTATCTTCAGACACATATGACCTGAAGTGAAGTCCCATTGTCAACACACATCTTTTAATGTCAGGTCAGTCCACCTTCAGCAGTATTAGCCCTTCTGGAAAGAAAACTTGGCTTATTAAGCCTTTGACCCAATAAAACATCTTCTGCTGTTTTTTATTGGGTCAAAGGTCAGGATTCATGTCTTTCCACCACAAACTCGCTCAGCCGTGTCATTATGAACTAACCTTTGTGTGCTTGTGCTGAGCCATGTTGAAAAGGAAGGGAGCATAATATCATCCTAAATATCTTCTATGGTCAAGGATTAAAATTAATTTCACTGGAACCAAGTAAGTCAAGACCAATTTCTAAAAAGAATAAAATAAAATACAAGCCCGCATCATAATCTTCCCTCCACCAAACCTTATAACTGATGCAAACACCTGCAGCCGTGGCGATGGTTAGGACACCTTAACATAAATGTTTCGATTGGCGAGTAATTACTAATCATGTTTAACTAGATTTTGTTCTACAAAAACCCTGCAAAAATTTAACTTTATTGGAACACAACTCATCAACTTGGTATGGAAAACATTTTCCAGTTCATGCTATTCCTGGAAGCTGAGTATGTTTACCCTCAATGCAAATCTGCTGTGTGCCGTCCATAAGGCCCAGAGGACTTTACATGTTTCTGAGCTGCACAGCAAGACACAAAGTCATACTTATGATTGTAGATCAGAGGAAGTTGGACACCACGGTTTCTAATTTTAAGCGCACACTGATGCCAACACTGGACTTAATAAATAAAAAGGTTCTGATTACATCTAATTGTTAAATTAAACAGAGTTTCCTCATCATAAGGCCACATATCTGAATACTCAGAAAGACATTCAGCTCTGAAAACATAATAATGTGAGGAAAATAACTCAAATGCAGAAAAAATATCATCATTCGCATCTGGGCATGTTTTTTTTTTTTTTTTTTTACGTTCCTCGTTGCCTTAACTGTACCAGACTTCTAGTTTCTGCGAGCCACGCGGTTTGGCAGTAAATGACGGTGAAGTCTGTTTTACTTTCTGCATGTGCCTTAAAGCAGAGTCAGGTTAGAGAAGCTGCTGTGAGAAACACAGCTGCAGACTGTTAAGGGGCTGCCAGAGGAAGTCATGGAAGCGACTCTATTACACAGCAGTCTCTATAAGGTTGCACCCTTCCCCCTATGTAACTCTGTGTGCTTAGCAAATCCTAATCATTGTACAGATTTCTGCAGCGAGGTCTGAAGTCAGGCAACAAGAAGAAACTTTACTCCAAACTCAGTGCTTAACTTTTATTTCAAGAAACCCTCTGATCTGCAGCTGAGAGCATTGTTTTTCCTCCTGGAAGTCAATCTTTGAGGAGCTATTTTAGGCTCCAGTGGGAGTCCTGTTCCCTGTCATTTTTGCTCTCAAATCCCAAAAGCTTAGGGAACAGCGACTTATTAACCACGCCAGGGCACACGCTGCACAAGACGACACAAAGAAGGAACCTTTAGCTTTTCAGTTTCACAGATTCTTACAAATGTAAAGAATGCAAAGGTTGCATACTTTGCTATCGTTGTGAACTGTAGACTTTCTTTTTTAGAATTTGGAACATATTATAAATTTTTCAGGCTTATATAAAAAAAAAAAAAAACTTGAGATGACATAAAACGCTTACACTGAGCAGATTATAAACATTATGATTCTAATAGAGAGTTAACAATGACAGACTTTAGATGCCGTTTCTTTCGCTATTCTGGCTAAGGATCCGTTTGCCTTCCCAGTAAAAAATGTAATGATAGAACTGGCATGTCAAAGACGTTGAGGTGTTCAGGTCCAGTGTGCAGCAGGATGTACTGTAAAATGCAAAGGGAGCGTTGTTGGCTCCGCGGTGGTGTTCATTCCAGCGGCCAACCTCATCTCCTGTTGCTTGTGTTTTACATACTTTGCATCATAAAGTCCTGCGTTTGCTGACACACCTAAGAAACCGGCAGGAAAATGACCCCTGAAGTGTCTCATTATAGCATACTAAGTATGGTATTTAAAAATAATGCACTGTTACCCACATACATGGGTCTGGTCCTTCTGCTGCCTTTTGTTTCTTAGAGAGGAAGTTGAAAAGGAAGCGTACGCCAATAAAACAAAAGACTTAATGCACCCAGCGAGGACTCTGAGAACATTAGCAGCTTGTTAATGAAGTCACTCAGCTGATTCAAAAAGGTCACTGACGTCAGACTCCAAATTAGACGCCTAAACAGACGCAGCTGCGATTGCTCGCTTCCCACGTAGGAACACCTTAAAGCCAAATATGTCAGCAACTTAAAGTCCAAAGCTTTGTGATTTCAACCCCCAAACAGAGAAATGTATTTCTTAAAACCAAATTCCATGCTTAGTGCACTGCATGCAATTAAGGCTTTTCCATTTTCAGACGATTACATCATCAGACCAGAAAAAATGGTAGTAAAACTCACCAGATAAAATCAGAAATCAGTGCAATTATAACAAATTAACAAGCCTGAAATACATACTTGCAACGATCCTGTTGTTTACAAATTGACTCAACTGTATCATAATCTATGATAAAAAAAAGAAAAATGACAATTAAAAGCCACTTATTGGTTTAAGGAGCTGCTGAGCCTCCTCTGCAGATGTGAAACAGCAGGATTTACAATAAAAATCCAGTTTCAGTCAAACTTCAGTGCAACCCGTTAGAGCTCGATTTAATCTGAAGTTCAATGGAGGAGGCCAAGCTGCAGTAATTCATTCTTTACAGATTGTAAAAGGAAACCACAACCCTTTTAAATTACAGGGTTTCTGTGTCCATGTTCTGCACACAAACACCTCAGATTTGACCTGAAACCTACAATAACTGGTTTTCTGCAGGTCTCCTCCATATGTAATTGATGGAGAATAGATTTAGATTCGAGGAAGCAGTGAGTCAGAGCTGTGCACCTCATCGTCAATGCAATCATTTTCTCAGCTAATGCGAGAAAGAGCCAAAGCAGCCGTCAGCTGACCGCCGTGGTTCGCTGCAGCCATTGTTTACCGATACCAGTTCATCATAAAACCACCTCCAGCTTTTGTTTGCTGATTTAGTCAATCATGAAATGTCCCTCTGTGGCTTTATGACGGAAATTGATCCAGCAAGTGCTGGCCGTCCAAACAACAGGCTGAAATGCTGAAGCAGAGCTCATTCATAATGAGGTAAGCAATAAGGGCACCACACTGCTCAGATAGCAGGCAAACAGGATATATCTGGAAACCTGACTGCACACATTTCTGCCTCCAGCTTTGTGGTTTAAAAATGTTCAGCAGCAAACTTTACAAAAGGCGCAGGTGTTGCTGTGCCAAAACCAGGAAGCTCTTCAAAAATACACCCCGACAGCTGCTGTGTTCCCAGCACACATCCTGACTTCACTCAGACCAGATCGAGCTGCACTTTCATCACTTCCCTCTTCTGGATACGACCAGATCTTTGATCATTTTAGGGTCCGACTGACACTGAAACCATTCTGATGGAAAAACACCACAGGAACATTCTCAGTCAGTCAGCTGTGCTAAAAGTTATGGAGGAACCCGTTTGGCCTGTTCAATTGCTACTCTCACATATTGTTATTATCTAAGCATCTTTGTGTCACTTCATAATCTCTGCAAAGAACGACTTTTGTTTCACCCTCACAGATTCTGAACATTTTGGAAAAAATAATGAGCGAGGAGGTGATATTTGTAGTGATTGTAAAATGTCTCACCTGATGATGACGCACTGGTTTTCACGGTCGATCATCATGTTTCTGTACATGTTGTCTGCCAGAGCGTAGATGTGAGGAGGGTTCTCATACTGAGCCTGCAGAGAAACAGCTTGGTCAAAACCAGCGGGTCGACATAAAACCAGGAAGAAAGAAAACAGTGGTTATTGAGAGGCAAGTAAACAACAAAACATCCGTCTTTCGTAAAGCGCATCCGGCTGACCAAACGTTCTGGAGTCCCACTCCGGTTGCTAGGTGCGTTGCAAGGTGAGGGGCTTGTCTTTTTAAACTTTTGTGCTGTTTTTAGAAACTCAAACGGAAGAATAAAAACGTGCAAAATGTGAATTATGAATGAAGTGTTTTCACATATAGCAACAAATACAAACTGTGGCTTAAATTGTATGCATACTTAGAGCTCAGTATGCCGTCTAATTTATTCTGAAACATTTCTACACTGAGGTCGGCGTCTTCTATAAAGGTTACTGGTGAAGCCGTTTTTCCTCCAACACTACACCTGTATCACCAGAGATTTATCTCCATCTTTCACGTTTTGCAAATAGAATTCTGGAAGGTGTAATGTGAAAGAAAACCAGTCTAGAACTATAGTACTTTATCTGTGACATTTATAGACTTGTATGTCTTAATTCTTGTGAACTGGAGATGTAAATTTGATCAGCTGTAATCTATATAAACGACAATGCTTCACCCCTCCTACCACGTGGGTTATTATAATCTGCGTCCCAGTTCTCACAGTTCAGTAAACAGATCTAAGCTTCCTATTGTACCCTGTTAGCTGCGCCAAAAAAGTGAAGCATGGTTGTGAACAATCTCTAAGAAAGTAAAGTGTTCTTTGGCATGAGTGACCCTTAGCGTTCCCACAGTCTGTCAGAGATTTAACTGGATTTCAGTCTGCTCCTGGCTTAAGGAGGCAGGCCCACGCTCTGCAGGCTGGCCAAGAGAGGAGGCAGACTTGAACAGGCTGTTCTAAGAAGTTGCTGCCAAGCACACTCAACGGTCGACTCCAGTTCCTGACAGAAACATCTGCGCCAAGCTGCTGGAAAGTTTGAACATCGGCGGGCTTTGTCTTTCAGGCGGTGTTCATCTCAGATTCACTCAGACAAAATGTTTCGCGTGTAAAGTCATAGTTTGGATGTACTCACGGCTCCCTGATACATCTCGATTTCCCTCTCTCCAAAATACGGCATCTGCTTGAAGGGGTTGACGGAAATGAGCACAGGGCCGATGTACGTCTGGGGAGATTACGCGTTAAAGATCACAGAAACCAGCAACTAGGAAATGACATCAAATTGCAACCAGAGAGTGCAACAGAGCTGCGGCAACGAGGCTGCAGATCATGCCTGGACCTAAATAAGGGCTTACAAATCCCAGAGAATGGACCTTCCATGTAATAGTGAGGTTTTATGCTCCTAACACAGAAGGCCGCTCATGGCAAATAAAGCTGCTATTATGGGTGGCCCACAGTGACCCGGGACCTTAGCAGGGAGACCTCCCAGTTACAGCTATTTATTGACCCAAATCAAAGGTCTGACTCAGAGCTGAAGAGCCTAAAACAGCCCACATTTACTAAACTTCACAATCCGAAGCCGTGCCAGGGAGGCGACGAGGTCCATGCACTGAGCCGCTCTGAGAACATTCAAAGAGGTTATTCATTCATTCATTCAATCATCTCGCTGCACGTCATGAGCAGCTTACATCTGCAGCAACAGCTGCATGTTAGAAACCTAAATGTTGCATTTGTACAGGACAGCCAGACATGGCAGTGATTGAGTGTCGCCACTGCAATGGCGTTTGCAGTTGTCTATTCTTAAGCATTTTAATAACATTTCTGCTGTTATTGCATGTTTTTTATATATATATATATACTGTACAATATTTTACATAATTTGTATGTATTTTTAAATATTGAGTACAAATGCACATTATGTAATTTTTCCAAAAGTGAGCCAACTCAGTTGCACATTCCTCGGATTGTGAGTCCAATATACCCATTTCTAATAACTGCACAATGTTTTGTTATAATCTATACAGTATATAACTACTTTGTTGTATTCATATATTGATATTTTTATCTTTGTATTTCTGGTTCGGCTTGTGTAGTGTTTCTTTTTTGTTCTACATTGCTGGTTATTTTGGAGGCTGGTTTTGTAATTTTTATTTATTTTTTTACTTTCTGTCTCGACAGCTTAAATTTAAAAGATTATCTCATCTTAATCTTGTCTTTGCAGGGTTTCCCCATGTGCATTATAAGCCTGGCGGGCCACCAGGCTGCACTTGCAACCCCTCCAGGATAAGCATTGTTTATTTATTTGGTTCCTTTTATTTTTTCCTTTATGGTTGTTGCTTGGGTTTTGTTATTTTCCAATAACACATTTACTAGTCAGATTTTCAAATTTCCATAAACATTTTTAACTCAAAAACATGATAGGTCGCTGGATTGCTAGCGTCCACTACCACCAGGCTTTCTGGAGGAAACCCAGTTTTATATGCTGCTTTTAACACTTTTAGAACGTTTTGTTGTTGTTGTTACACCTGAATTTCCCCCTTTGCAGCACAATAAAGGCTGTTTCTACTCTATTCTATCCAAAATCCAGAACAGAGAGATTCCCTGAACATACGTTTCTCCATTATGCAATCTGCTGTTACTCACAACTTTTTTTTTTTTTGCATCCCCCTGTGAGACGAACTAAAGCACGTCTGACTCACAGATGGAACAGCGGTCAGATATCTGGTTGAGATCTGGAACAAAGAGGTCCTTTCCCACCTTCTCGCTGCAGAACCTCTGGGGAAATTTGTCACCTTCCGACACTGACGTCGAGGATTGCTCATTGCTAATATGTCACAGTGGACGGGCATTCAGCTATTCTGGGAGAAGTGGGAATGAGACGGCTCGGACATTTCTCACAGGATTATGAACAGAAAGTGCGAGCGAAGGATACAAAGATGTAGTCATCCATGTATCTCTTCTTGAGGTTGTCCACGATGCCGTCCTCGCTGATCTTGCTGAGCAGGACCATGTCATCCACGCCGCTGTGTTTGACATTGTGGCTCTGCCAGTGGTACCGGTAGTGGCCCCGGCTCCCCTGAAACAAAAAACACACAATGCACAATTGTTAGTTTGCTCGGAGAAACACAATGGCGTGAACAAATCTAGAGTCTGACATCAGGGTGGGCCAGATGCGCCGCTACTGTACACCAGCCCACTCATAACCTGAGGTGCTGTGGGTTTCGCCATCCTGTTGAACTAATGAGATGAGCCTCAAGCCCAAAAGTCAAACTGTGCAAATCTTTTGATTTGTACTTTGAAATAATGCAAGTTCAGATTCCCACTAGTGCTCCATTTTATTTATCCAGGTGTTAAAAATGCAGAGATTTGACTTTCATCCACGTCTCAACCCTCCTTCCCCCTGCCTCCTTGTTTTTCTTTTAGCAGAGTTTGTCTCGGGAGATCTGAGGTCATTCATCATGTGCTGTGAGTCAGAGCCACTTGGCTACTGTGGACAGGGTTCACGGTGTGCTGCGAGGAGCGAGTCTCTTTCTGCAGGACTCAGAGTCCACAGAGAGAACGTGAGGCAATAGTAAACACACAAGTTAGCTTTAAAACTCCCCGTCTTCAATGGGGAAATGTGAATGGAAGAAAGACAACCAGACAATATTCTGCAGGAAAGAGAAACTTTGTGCATTCACTCTGAAAAAGTAGACAATTCAGCTTAATTCAACTGTGTATACAGTCATGCTTTTCTCTTTGCTTTGTATACAGTTGTGTATACAGTTAACAGTTATTAACGACCTGATTAATTGACCTTTCTCCATAGAGTCGCACCATCGATCCACCAGAGATCAGAATTAGCTGATTTTATTTTGATTGGCTCCAGTTGTTAGCAGATTAAAATATTAATCAAGTTCATCAAAAATAAATAAATACCTCCCAAGATTTTCTGTCTTTAAATGCATCAATACACTTTTATCCACAAGTTGAGTTTAATAAACGTCAGATTAAGATTAGGTACATATAATAAATGGGAATAATTATGCAATTTCTTTATTTTTCTCTTGGGTTAAGAATATCTTCTTGATAAGAACATGCAGTAATTTTAAATGTAATTTTTAAATAAAATTTTATTTCCTTTTAATAATTTTTTTCTTTTAATTTTAAGATACTTAGACAAAAAAAAATAACAATAAATCAGAAATCTTAAAACCTGAAGCCAGGAGGCCAGAAGCCACCAGCTCCTTAGAAATGCATTTCTAATTTTCAAGGGTTTTTTTTCAGTCAGAAATAAGTGTAAGCCTCTTTACCAATGCTGATTTAACGAGCAACATAAACTAAATAGCAAGTTAATCTCACAAGCCTAGAAATTGTTTACGTCCCATTTAAAAAAAAAGAAAAAAGAAATTGGACTTTTTTCTTAATAGAACCTAAAAAAGCCTTTAATCTTGCAGTATTTTACTACTGTTTTGGTTTCACATAACCACTTCATAAGGGAATAAACACATCACAGCACAACATTGAAAACCTGTGATTTTTCATTAAGGTGTGCTACATAAAACAAAGCAAAGAGAAAAGCATGAAGCTTAATATGTGAAATTTTTGCATTTGTTCACATTAAGTCATTTACTATTTTCAAACTTAAACAGAAACGGCTAAAACTTGCAGTTTTAACCACCTGTAAAAACTCTCTATCTGCTTAGTTTGCAGCAACAAGACTTTATATAACATTATGCTAAATCACATTTAAACTGATATAGCAAGAAAAACATGCTGGGTTCAAGTCTGGGGTTCTTTCAACAACGAGGTTTGCTGAATCTGGATGAAATGCATCCCACAACCTCTACAAATAAAGTCTGACTCATAAGATCTCCAAGTTATTAGTGCAAACACGGCTCCAACTTAACCTGAAAGATTAACAACGAATACCCACCAAACCTATTAATTACAAAACCTAAAATAATTAGACATTATACCAGGCATGAAGGGTCAGACTTTGAGTATGTTTGTAAAATACTAACATATATTTATCAGTATCAAAAGAATTTAAGGAATGTTTCTTTGTGCTGAAACATGTGATTTAATATTTATTTTGCGTCACGTGAAAAAAGTGAATGTTGCTTATGTCTCAATGAAAGATGCAAACGCTGCATTAGATCACAACAGACTAAAAATAAATAAGTACAGCTGCTGCAAAACGACTGAAATATTCAGCATCAAAGAGCAAGAAAACAACACAAAGGAGAGCAGTAAAAGTTGTTGTGCTTTCAGTAATTAACTTTAAATGAGTCTGGTAGGAGGGCCAGAAGCATTTCATATCCTGAAGGGATATTTTATTTTATTTTTCTCATTCAAAGTAACAAAATTAGAATCGCTTAACAATCAGGGTTATAGCAGCGGTGAAGAATGTTAACAGCTTCTAAGACTAATTCAGGGAGTGTTTTTCTGTAGGAGCTAAATGTTGCTTAGGGAGCCTTCAAATTACACTGTTTAACAGTTTTGAAAAAGGCCACGTCTAGTCGAGTTTGTTTGTATGGCCTGGTTTCTTTAAAGGAGGGGAAACTGCCAAGCTAGCACTCTTATCCAAAATAAAATGAAAAAGGGGAAAATCTAGATTTCTGTGTTTAAGTAAAAAAAAAAAAAAAAAAAACACACATAAGTGAAATTCAACTTTTCTGGAAATAATTTCAAGTCCAGCCTGAAATGCTTGTGACTTTGCCTGTGAAAATCCAGTTTAATGTAATGTCATAAGCATCTCAACCACATTTAAGTCTGAACTTTGACTAGACCAAACACAAAAACTGTTAGCTTAAGCTTAAGCTAAGTGTTGACCAGATATTCTTCTTCAGTATTTTCTGATAATTAGTAGGATTCATGTTTCAAACAATTACAGCAAGTTGACTGCAAACAGTCCCAGGCCATCATAGTGCCACTACCGTGTTTGACTTTCAGTATAATATTCTTTTTACAGCAACCAAAAATTCCAGTTCTGTCTTAAAAATCCAAAGAATATTTTCCAAAAAAAGTCTTGTGGATCTTAAAGATTTTTTCATACAACTACCATTTTGGTCTTTTTGGTCAGCAGTGATTTTGGCATTAAAATGCTAATTTCCAAAATCATTGTTGAATAATAGACTCAATTGCTTCCACAGAAGCAATTGAGTTCGTTTTCTCCATTTATAGATAATGGCTCTCATTATCACGGTTCCAAAACCACAGGAATAGATTAGAAAGCTTTTCCATGGTGCTAAATTTCAATGACTTTGCTTCTCCTTTGTTTTCAAGGTTTTTGTTTTGTTGTCGTTTTTTGACTGGGGTGTGATGCATTTGTATACATGTGCACAGAAATGTATGGCAGAAATCAGGCCAAGGTAAGAAAAAAAAAGGCTTAAAAAAGTCAAACTCCTCTGCTGGCAGCTAAGCAACACAAAAATATATCAACAGAGCCACTTCTTTTTTTACACTTCTAAAAGAAAAAATGTAAAGTCCTGGGCTGAGTCAAAGCACAGATCCTGATCTCATGAAAGTGAGATCAGGAGATCAGGATCTGTTTGAGTTAAACTTGATTAAGATGTTTGATAACTGCTGTCTGTCACCACACTACCTCAATACTTTCAAGAAAAAACCCTGAAATATGTTAATATCCAACAAAGCACAATGAGACCATATAAACATGCTTCAATCATGCACACGATAACACAGAAAGGTTGAGAAAAAGAGGAAATATTCAATATACTTTTACAAGGTTTTTTAAAAATAGATTTACCAGCTTAACATTTGACACATTCACTTTTAGATGAAGTTATTTAAAATACTGGCTCCACTTCTTCAAATTGTGAGGTATTAGTTTCCTACTTTAGTCACATTTTCAGTGTGTCTGACTCATAACTCCCTTTATCTCCTTCTTAAAATGACAAACTTGGTGCTGGTGGAAGTGGAGCGACGTTAAAGTAGTGTACACAAACACACGAGCACAAACACAAGGGACACGCGTTACAATATGAAGTCAAGAGTAGGCATAACAACACCATCTCCATGCAACCACAGGCTCTCAGAACAGAAAACAGACACAGCAGAGGAATAAAGTGTGACATCACTAGAACATTGTTATGTAAAAACACCAAAATATAGCAACATGTTACATAAAACAGAAGAAAAGAGAGCATGGTTTCCATGCATCATATAGGAACGTATTTAAAGTAAAAGCAGAGTTTTTTTTTCTAAGCTGAAACAAAGGAATCTCAACACCAGTCCAGATCCATAAGCCCAGGTTTTCCCTTCATGCAAATACCATCACCAAATATGGAGAGTGCTGCGCTCTGCCTCGGCATACAGGAAATGGCTGGGTTTGATTCAGCATCATAAGCGGCACTTTTCCCCACATTTTTCCTTTTCTCCCCCCCCCCCTTTCCACACCAAGGAAGGACACGCAGTCCTGCGAAGGCTGGAACAGGCAGCTCTGCTCATCTAAAATCAGTCCTTCGCTCTGAAATAAGGACAAGCTGAAGTGATTCTTCGGTGCGAGATTAACTTTGAGAGGAGTCGCTCAGAACTTGGCTGGAAGCAAGTGGCTGACATGTACAGCTCACCGCAAGCGGTGGAAGTAAATATAACGCTGAGCGTCATTCTTACCACAAACAGCTTGAGGTTCGGCCCTGAGCCACGCCTCCTGGTTAGTCATCAGATTAGAGAAGGAATTTCTAATGAAGCAAAGCCCTGAGACTAAATCTTCTAGAAGAACACAGTCTTCTCACATTCATCAACAGATTTTATACCCAACTGCACGAAGGAAATGAAGCTATGAACTGTAGGCGATTCATAAACCAGAAAAGGATTTACAGAAAACATGAGATTAAATTTGAAAGCCAAGAAATTTCCAACAACAGCTGGGCTAACACTACAGGAAGCAGCATTAAGATGATCGATTCTGACTAGATGGGAGGTTTCTTTCAAAGATAACACTGCATGCAGGAAGCTTCTTCAAATCATGGTGGTGATCAGGTTGTGGTCTGACCACCTACAAATCTCACAAAATTCAGACTGAAGAATACATTTGCAGATGCAGTCAGAGGGTAGAGCATGCACAGTTCAATC